TATGCCGCACCGCCAACTCTTATTGCCAACGTTTAATACCCTCTACCTAGCAATTGCCGGTAAAACATCTTTTTGTTCCGACCATTTGGAAAACTGGGAGGAACTTTCTTTTCGAGTGTTTTTTGTTTTCCACGCAAAATCAGGCTCAACAAGTAGTCAATAATCATCAGACAGGGTTAAATGATATATCAGATTAACGCTCTTTCAGTCTTAAAGCGAATCATCTAAAAAAATTCCAATAGATTTCCCAGTGTCGAGAAAAACCGGCTTAAAATTTTGAATTTTTCGTCTTAGCTCAAGCGAATGAAGCGAGAGAGCAGTCTTGCAACAGCTCAATTATGCTTTATATAAGACTTTAACACTTAAGCAAGTAAATCGAGTTTCGGGAGTTTTTAGCTGCATTTTGAGAACCACTAACTTAAAAAATTTCAAAAAAGTTTCCGCAAAAAAAAATTTCAAATTTAAAAAGAAAACGTCTTGTCTTTTTTCTACAAAGTTTTTGGCAATTCGCCTATATTACTGTGACTGTCTAAAACGCCTAAATTGTATTTTTACGTCAGATCCTTTCATCACACCAAACAGAAAAAAAAACTACACTAATTTGGAATTAAAACTTTCTAAACCTAGTTTTCTCAAGACCGTGGTAACCGGCACAGTAACCGGCTGTCCTTGTTCAGTTTTGATAAAAGTGCGTCTATGTCAAAAATGAATATAAGAAAACAGGTCATCAACAAAGAACTGGAGATAAGTCAAGGAGCGCTACTAAATAGAAAAACACTGACTTACTATTTTTGGAATAAACTCAATTTTCGAAATTCCAAGAAAAAATAGATGATTTTAAAGCTCTTTGAATTACAGCTTTTAATAGGTTTAGGCCATTATGAATATACTAGCTCAATACAAAATAATACTGCGCCGGAAAATCTGTAAATTAAGTTCCACTATCGAAACTAGAAGTCGATCATGTTTTTCGTGACCTTTCGTGATCATCGATTTTAATTTTGCTCCCCGCTGCTTCCCTTTCTTCACAGGTATAACATATGCAACAATCTACGACTCAACAAGTTCTACACAGAGACGAAGCTTGGCTTCGCAAACACTGGCGAGAATACGAAAAAAAGCAGTTCTAGAGAGTGCAATAAGAATAAGAGCAATAAGCTTCAAATTAAAAAAATATCAGCTAGGATTCGATTTGCAACCTACTGCAATATAAACTATGAGTCTCACACACTAACCACTCAGCGACCCACGCTCAACTATCGACAAACACTAGTCACGAAAAAAGCAGCTATTTATGCTAAAGAATTGCCACTGCCATTCAGCAAAATGGCACCAAATACAGATAGACACAATTTTGCAAGTAAGAATTTGGAATGAAACAAGCTGTAGGCATCCACACTAACTTTGCATGTAACAAATCGCAAAACTTAGAGCCAAAATATGCATGCACAGATGCGAAGCAGAGCTTCGCACCTTTTCCGATACAAAACAAACAAAAAAAACTAAGTCACAAAAAAATTAGATGTTGAAGAAAACTAGGTGAACCAAACTTTTCGATAAAAAACAACTACAGGCCCCGCTAAAGCTGGAGGTACGTGTTTAAAGTTGAATGAGTTGACTATAATAATGCGGCACGAAAAGTGTGAATTCAAAAAGTGGACTTTGCCCAAAACGTTAATTGTTTGGCTACTTAAGTAAGTGAGAAGAGTAAAAAAAGTAAGTGAGAAGAGTAAAAAGAAGAATTTATGCAACCCGTTCTCTCAATGGAACTTTTCAACCCAGATTTTATTGTTTAAACTTTGAGAACATTAAAAGTTCTACAAAACTGTCGAAAGTTCTAACCAACGTTCAGAAGATTTTCCAAAATGCATGTTTTTTCTGCAAACAGCAGGTTATGGTCGCGTAAGCTGAAACGATTTCCAAAGACGGTTTTCTCGATTGAACACAACCTGAGAGTTGGCCCGGTAGTTTTCGCGTAAAAAAAATAAGTTTCCAAAAAAAAAACAGTCAAAGTTTCAAAACTGACTTGCTTGAAGGCCAACACTTCAAAAAAACTGGGCATGGCTAACTTGAAAGGTAGGCTTTTAGCAACCTTATTATTCGATTACACCTTTAAGATCAGATTTGGCAGGATAGTAAGCGAGAAAAGTAAGAAACGGTCAACAAATCAAAAATTTGACGATTCTGAGAATCATAACGCTTAGAAAAAATTACAAAAAGTAATTCAGAAATGATTCACGAAATCTGCAATTTCGATTGAACCCAACAGCTCAGGTATGGCAGGGTAGTTTTCAAAAATATTCTAAAAATTTACGAAAAAGGTCAATTAATCAAAAATTTGACTTTTTAGGGGGCAATAACTTCTTGTGGGAGACTTTTTGTTAGTGTCCCCGATTTCGTTGCGATACAAAACAAACATTAAAAAAATGTCGAAAAAAGTTTAGAAAATTTTAGACAATGAAAAAAACTAGTTGAACCCATGTTTTCATAGTCTCGATAAAAATAACTACAAGCCCAGCTAAAGCTGGAGGTACGTGTTTAATATTGAATGAGTTTGCTACACTGATGCGGCACGAAAAGTGTGATTTCAAAATTTCGACTTCGGACAAATCATTAGCTGTTCCTTAACTAAAAAAAGAGTAAAGAGATAATCAATTTTCCCAAATTGATAACATTTCCCTAACAAAAAGTTAAAGCAGCCAGTAAAGCAACAAAAAGATAAACTATTATCGCAGCCAGTTCTTTCAATGGAACCTTTTTTTTCATCAAACCGTTTGAACCCTAAATCGCAGGTATGGCAGGGTAGTTTTCGAGAATATGAAAAAAAAGTTTAAAACGGTCAAAAATCAAAAATTTGATTTTTCAGAGGGCGATAACTTCTTGTGTGAAACTTTTTGTTAGTGTCCGCTAATGCAAAGGAGCTTCCCACAAACTGCTCTCTCATTGAACTCACAATATCAAATTTGAGAGATACGTTTTCGTGAGAAGTCGAAAAGATCCACAAACCGGTCAAAAATAAGAGTTGGTCTATTCCGACGGCCATAAATTTGTGCAACAAAAATTAGTCGTAGCCAATTATGCAGGGAAGTTTTTTGAAACAATTCTTTCCATTGAAATCAAAAACTTATTTTTGAGAGGGGTAACTTTCGAGAAAACGCAAAAAAATCAAAAATATGGGTCAAATTGTCCCATACTTTTTTGAAGGCTGTAGACAGGGGGTGAAGTATAATAAAGACTCTAGTGGAGTCTACTACAGACACACAGAGAAATAAGCTGTCTTTCATTTGATACTCTTTTCGTGAAAAACAGAAGTTTCGGAGAAAAACTGAAGCTTTTGCTAAAATTGAAAATATTCCAAACAAAAAAATGAACAAACATATCGGTAAACATACAATCAAAATTGAAAAGTGCGGAGGGAAAAGCGTGAATTAAGTTGAGCTTGAAACGTCCCAAAATTAGGTCATTAAGACGATGAAAAATAGGCCGAAATAATTTTGGCCGAGGAATTTTTTTATCGGAACAAAAAATAAAAGAAATATGAAGTCAAGGTATGTAAAATTACAAAAAGTAGGCGTAAATCAACCACTAAAAACAACATTGAAAAATGCGCGTAGAAAAAAATCCAAGATATTCTAAAAAAAAACGATTCCCAGATATATTGACACGTACGCCGACAACCGATAAGCAGACAAATAATTGGCCGTCAATTTTTGTTTTAAACTGGATATTTCCCATTGAAAAAAATAGGTCCAGGATAGACTCGAACCCAAGACATTTGCCCTCCGAGGCATATTTGTAACCTCCAGGCTAAGAAATTTGAATACATAAAGAAACAATTTAGAGGTGAGGGATGTGGACACTTGTTTACGGGAAAAAGTCTAGTACCCAGTTGCAATACCCTTGCTCATCGCCAGGGTAATTATGCATTTCAAAAAATTGCGAGAAAATTTCTTAAATAGAGTTTTTATTATCGTTATGATGTTTGAAACAACTAGCTTTTTTTTCCAGTTCATTCGATGAATTTAAAATGCATCATCTGTGTTGACTTATTACTATACGAAGGTCAAAGCATATGCTATCAAAAAGCTGATAAAGATGCCCCAGAAATGTCACCAAAATTTGCGACCTACGTTTGAAAAAAAAAAGTGGTTAATAATGCACTAAGCTGATGCTAGTGTAATCAAGTAGCTCCTGCGATATAGAGGTAAATAACCAGAACTTGATCTGACGCTAGCTAACCAAAAATTACGCCAATTTGCTTATGGAAAAGTCTATTAAATCATTGTTTGTACTGCTTGCATCGTAATGCTTATGAATGCAGAAACGCAAACTCAAACAGTTCTGGTCATATTGGTTGTCTAAGTTATTCCTTTAAAAGTTTCGCAAAAATGTTATATATTATTGCACTCGAAACTTTAATTCAATTAATTTTTCTGAATTAACGCCAAAAACATATTTGCAAAAATTGAAAAAACAATATCAATATTTTTCTATAACTGCAGAAATGCTGAATATTTAAATCAATTTTATACTACAGGTATCATCTATATCCAGTAATTTCAAGTAGTTTGAAAATGATAGAAAGTCTCTCTGCATAAGTAGAGTCTCAAGGTCAGAGGTATGTCCAAGTAGCTCACACACAGCGATGTCTGGAACACTCCTCCGAAGTGATCATGTAACTTCAGTCTGCAGAGGTTCTTCAGTTTCAGAGGTCGGTTGACGTTCTCCAGACACCAGCTGTGCAGATAGGTGAAGTCGCTGCTCTGTGCTATCTGGGTGACTGCATTTGAAAAAAAGGTGGTTAATAATGCACTAAGCTGATGCTAGTGTAATCAAGTAGCTCCTGAGATATAGAGGTAAATAACCAGAACTTGATCTGACGCTAGCTAACCAAAAATTACGCCAATTTTTTTATGGAAAAGATTAATAAATTATTGTTTGTACTGCTTTCATCGTAATGCTTATGAAATGCAGAAACACAAACTCAAACAGTTCTGGTCACATTGGTTGTCTAAGCTTTTCCTGTAAAAGTTTCGCAAAAAAATGTTATATATTATTGCACTCGAAACTTTAATTCAAATATTTTTTCTGAATTAACGCCAAAAACATATTTGCAAAAATTGAAAAAACAATATCAATATTTTTCTATAACTGCAGAAATGCTGAATATTTAAATCAATTTTATACTACAGGTATCATCTATATCCAGTAATTTCAAGTAGTTTGAAAATGATAAAAAGTCTCTCTGCATAAGTAGAGTCTCAAGGTCAGAGGTATGTCCAAGTAGCTCACACACAGCGATGTCTGGAACACTCCTCCGAAGTGATCATGTAACTTCAGTCTGCAGAGGTTCTTCAGTTTCAGAGGTCGGTTGACGTTCTCCAGACACCAGCTGTGCAGATAGGTGAAGTCGCTGCTCTGTGCTATCTGAGTGACTGCATTTGGACTGCACCTCTCAATCCACACTGCAATGTCAAGGTCATCACAGTCCGCTTTCAGCAGCTGCTCGGCGACTGCAAATTGCCTGAAATAAAATAATAATTTTAAAATGATTTTCGAATTTGCTTTGTGTCAAGTTTGGTTAAAATCATGCTCACCTGAAAATGAAAATTTTTTGGTTAGGTGTTACGCTTGAAATAGGTTTAGCATAAATCAAAACATTCATTATCAAACATATTATAACATAGGTGCGGATCCATGATTTTCGCAGTGTGCTTATTTTTAGAAAAGTTTCAAAGATTTAGATTTGCCGACATTTAGGAACAATCAAACTGATTATGCGAGCTTACTTGAAACTTTAATGGGCTAAACATTTGCGGCGCAGCAGCCATATTTTTGAGGAAAAATACAGAAAGTAAATGCCTGTATCTTTGGACTGTCTTGGAGAAGGGAGTGTTTCCCGAGTAGGAGATGCAGTCAAAGAGCGGAGTGTGAAAGTGCATGTCGGCCATGTCCACCACTGCCCCGAAGTCCACAAAGATGGGGATGACAGGGGCTATCATATACTGACACACAAAGTGCAGAGGACTCTTTCCCACTGCATTAGGCACTCGCACCTCCGCACCCGCACACAACAGGGTCCTGAAATCAAGGTCACTGCTAATCAGAATGTTAGAGGTTCACGTTCAGATTACTTATCCAGAAAAGGCCCAACATCAGAGCTGTTTTACAGGTAACAAAAAACCGTTGTTTCTCCCCTGATTAAAACACCTACACTTAGTTCTTTTGGTTGTTTAACTGGACTAGCAGGGTAATAATTCATCTGATTCCAGTGAGCATCGAACCATCAAACTTTCGGCCGAGAGGGAGAGATCAAGAGACAACTTATTTAATGGAGTTTAGCTAGAAAAGAAGAAACTCAATTCAAGATTGGCATTGGGCACGACGCTGTAGGTTCTGAGATCAATTTAGCACCTACAAATTAGGAGCTTAATATCTACAATATAGTATCAAAAGAAAAACAAGAAAAGATCCTTGTGCCAAACTGATCACATTAAGCATTTACTCCGAAAAATTTAAACTTAATAAAAAAAATCTCGCTTTTAAACCTCTTGTCATATTCAAGGTAATGCACTTTGGGGCAAATAATAAAAACCTCACAAGAGGATAATTCGTTTGCTTTTTATTCAGCCTAATTAAACAGCTTCTTCAAGTCAACTGCTTATCAAACTTAGATTTCAGGGATAGGTAATGAACCTTAACTTTTCGGCATTCTCATTTTTTTTCAGCTTAAAAATATATAGAAAATCAAAAATCACGAGATTTCTGCAATGATTTGATAGGTGATCTTTTCATGGTGTTACATGCGGTTTACCTACCTGATGACGGATTCGTACTGGGGTAAGAGGCCTGCCTTGCACTGGGTGAGACAGAGGATGGCGAACCAGAGAGGACTGTGTTCTATCTTTCGAGACAGATTCACCCTCGCCCCTCTCTCGACCAGCCTCTTCACCAATTTTTCATTCCCAAAATGACATGCACGGCACAATGGGCTCATTCCTGAAATTTAATTGCTCACTTTCACATTTTTTATGAAGCAACTTTATAGACATTTCTTAGTTATGTTATAGTCCAAACTTGAGCTCCCTAATGATCACATAATTATCGGATCTAGTTAAAGTCCTTAAGGTATACCCATCGAAAAAAAAAACAAGTCACTTCATTGCTTTGTTCGGAATAGAAATTTTTTAGAATTTTTTTCACAGTCGAAATCACTGTCATTGACGATTCCACCTTATTTTCGATAAAAAGAGAATTCAATGTCTATTGACAGAAAATAGTTCATGCTGACCCATTATTCGCCATGATTTACCAGTTGTCACTTCTGCAGCAAAACATGCAATACATGTACCATCTAATTTCAGATGAGTCACTTAAGGCGTTTAGTCAAAACTCAGTTTGTTTTGATTCGGTCTCATGTCTGCAACAATATGGGCTCAAGGTCCACTAAACCCAATTCTAAACAGCCTCTAAGGTTTTCTCAGGGCCCAATAATTCTACACAAAATTACAAAATAGCTATAATTCAAAACAAATTAAGAGAGCGAACAAATAACGAATGATGAAATGTTCACATGGAACTATAAAAAGGACATATTACGTCGCAATGACCTTATTCCGATGGAAACTTTATTTTATTGACCCGGAACAATTGATTATTTTACAACAAACAACGTCAAACCGTTCATAAAACAAATAAAATAAACCAATGACTGAGAGAACGAGCGTTTAAAAGTAACTATTTTCCTGTACAAAAGCTGACATTCTTTTCTGTGCAGTTTAGTGCTGCGTCGGCTTATATGCTTTTTCTGCTTTTTCTTCGTTTTATGTCGGCATCAGTCAAAACATTGTTGCACAAAATAAATTGCAAGCTAACAGACAGAAAATGCAGAGAAAGCCACAAGGTCAACAAAAATTTTGTCTGTAATGATTCTCAATTGGGGGAAAATACGCCAGAAACACAATCGCTGAGCGGCAACTAAGCCAAAATATAGCCAACAGAAAAGTTGAAAAAGAGTCATTGAACGCAAGTTAACAGAAAAAATACGGACTTCTTTTTGAAAAATCGTAAACTTTCGAATTCCAAAAAAAGATGACTCTTTTAATTTCAAGAACAATTTATAACTGATACTCTTTTTTGATTAAATTAACCCAATTTGAGAAAACTGGAACAATAGTTTAAGTTTTTTATTTCGCTGGGAAATTGGATAATTAAATTCAAAACTAAAAGTAGATTTTCGTGACCTTTAGGCTTTTGCTATTCGATAGTGGAACTGGCCTTCTTTTTACACAGAGGCGAAGCTGCGCTTCGCAAACACTTGCGAGAACACGACCAAAAGCAGCTCTATCAATAGAAATAAGAAAACGTAAACATAAGCCTCGAATTTGCAAAAACTGAAAAAGCTGCGATCTAGCAAATTTGAGTCTCACGCACTAACCATTCAGCCACGGATGCTTAAAATCCCCAAAAACTAGCCATCAATAACGCACGTACATATGCTAATAAATTGCCAATTAGATGCAGCAAAAGAAGCACCAAATACAAAAAGACACAATTTTGCATGTGATAAATTGCAAATCGTAAAGCCACATTATGTATAAATTATGCATTTCAAAAACTTGCGAGATACATTGAGTTCAAAAACTTCTCAAATCTTTTTCATAATCCGAAACAAATTAGGCCTAAGCAAAGCTTTTCAAAAATCCGAAACAGTTTTTCATCGACAAAATAAGGATATTACCAGGTCGGATTTATTGAACTTACAATTTTCAGGAATAAATCGAAAACTTTTTTTAAATACAATGAAAATCGCATACAGCACAGAAAAAATCTGTGATGTTGCAACTCAGCCGATGAAACAAAACCAGACAAACAAAAAGCCGATCATTTTTTGAAAGGCAATATTTCCTTTATGCCAAAAATAATGTCCTGCCCAGAACGAACCTATGACATTCGCCCTTCCAGGCGTAGCCGTTACCAAAAGGCTGGGGAGACGCCATTTATTATCTGCTAATCTATTAAATGATTCAAGTGATTATGTTAATCAAATTAAAGCTCCATTCCACTCCCCCAACGATGATTTTCAATTTTGAAAAATTACTTCAATATTGTTAAGATGCAATGAAACTTGGCATGATCAACAAATTAGCAATTGTGTGTGACAAATGTGTTCTTAATTCTTTACATCGTAACTCAACGCGCTTAGCCATAGTTACACGTAAAACAACTATAGAAAGAGAAAATTTGAATGGTGAGGGAGTGGTAAGAGCCCAAGTTGCTAGCCTAAAAAAGTCTATATCCAGATTTGATAACGCTTGATTATCGCAAGCGTAATTATATAATTACCACCTGGCGAACCAGAGAAAGAATCGAGGAACAGCTAGTCCAGACAGATCTTGCTAGGAATGTTATCCCTATTTCACAACTCCCCTTCGTCTATAGGACCTAGAGACGAATATCCACCCCTACAAGGGATTTATTCATAGGCTAAGCGAATATTGAGCCTCTTAACTAATCCTCCTCCATTCTTGCAATATAGAAGAAACTGCAAACAAGACTTCTGACATACACACGCACCTTTGGAGTCGACCTCGTTGACGTCTGCGCCTGCGTCGATGAGCATGAGGGCTATCCGAGTGTGGTTGAGTGCCACTGCCTCGTTCAGAGGACTGATGCCATGTTTAACTGCACAAGAATTCGGCTCACTCACCCACGGAAAGTTCACATCCACTCCTGACAAAAAAAAACAACACACGTGGTAACCGACATTATCCAATCATTTTAAATACCAGATTTTATCGATTTTTCATTAAAGATTTCTTATTATTAGAAATCATTTTGATGGAAACCAAAGATCGCATTACTGACCCTGTTCTATGAGTGAGGAGACAGTAACTGAATCATTCTTCATGACTGCCACGTGCAATTGCTTCACCTCCGTTGGCATCAGCTGTAGATACATGTTCGTTTTCGAGTCCCCTTCCCCCTCGCCTGGACACGCACACACGTTGCACTTGCTACTGCTGCTGTTACTGCTACTTGCTGCATTTGTCTTATCTACCAAAGATTCCTTAGCCCTGCTTTTGTTCCTTTTCACTCGGGACCTTCAAAAATTTCGAAATTCCTAATCTACAGACATAATCTCACAAACCAGACTACAGAAAAGTCGATGGTTCGATTTGATAATGGTTGCTATACACACGCGTTATTCTAAGTGGAAATAGATTTCTCTTAAGCAGGAGCTGTTTACACTTGATGATCTTGAATGAAAAACTGACAGCTGTTACAACCAAAATCCGAGAAGACAAAAATGAACACAGAGGCGAAGTTGCACTTCGCATGCACAAGCAAAAATATGACCGATAACGCTACTGGGAAAAACTGAATGAGTAAAACTTTGAGTCTACAAAATTTCTCAAGTGACGCACGACAATTATAATTCAACATAATTGCTAAGTGACGCAAGCCAATTATTAGCAGTACCAGTCAATTAGCAGTACCAGTCAATTTTTTTAAAAAAAAAGAAACTAGAGGCCAGCTCAAGTTGGAAATACCTGTTCGATCATTTTTGACATTTTTGTATTGATGCGGAAGGACAAGCGTAATTTCAAAAACAGACCTATATCAAAGAAAAGTAAATATCAATACAATGACTTGAAAATCTGTTTCATCAATAACTTCAGTTTTCATAAAAATAGAAGTGATTACAAGAGCTTGTTAGATTGAAAGATGCTTAAAACGTTGCTCATTAGATTTGGGTGGGTAGTTTTCAAAAAAATCGAGATTTTGACTTTTCCGAGGGTCATAACTTTTTGACAGTTAAGCCCAACTTTAAAAAAAAAAAATTGGACGTAACTGTTTATGCAAGCAAAAAAAGGCGTAGCGGCCGTGCAGGGGAGCTTCTCACGACCCCTCTTTTCGATTGAAACTAAAATCTCAGATTTGGGAGGGTAGTTTTTGAGAAAAGTCAAAAAGTTTCAAAAAACGGTCAAAAATTCGAAAATTTGACTTTTCTGAGAGTCATCATTTTTGTTGAAAAAAAGGCGCGGTCGCTGTGGAGGGGAGCTTTCCACAACCTTTTCTATCAGTGGAACCCAAAATCTCCAATTTAGGAGGATAGTTTTTGAGAAAATGTAGAAAATCCAAAAGTTTTGGGTAAAAAATTCCCCCACACACTTTTTCGCAGACTGTAGAAAAAGGGGTAAGGTTAAAAGAGACTAGGGGATTATGCAGGCACACAAGGGAATGGGCGGAACTTCCATTGGTACCACTTTTTTTTGAAAAATCGGTAATGGTTTTCGAGAAAAACTAATTTTTTGAAAAAAATGAAAAATTTTTCCAAAGCGTCTTAAAAGAACAAATAAAAAAACCCAATCCCAAACATTTTCATAATACCTATTTATAATAAAACAGGAATTTACCAACTAACATGCCTCAATTTATAGAGCGGACGCATTTTAATTAGTAAACGAAAAAGTTCATTAAAAACATCCGACCCTGCCAAGGTTCGAACCCTCTTATTTTGTTGCTGGTCTCCTTCCCTACCTCTACGCTACAGATCCATGATACCTTGAATCCAAAGTTCCATTTGTGATATAATAGTCTGTGTTAATATCCTAAGCATTGGCTGTACTTAATAGCTGGATTAAAATGAACACTTTCAAAATGAACACATTTTGTCGCAACAATTGCATCGCAACAATATTTGCGACCTAGGTTGGAAAAAAAGATAATTCATACTATAACACAAGCTATGCTTGTGTAAACAGTCAACAAAAGGGTGGGAAAGAGCAAAAATCAAGCTATCAAAAATTGATTATTAATTGTACATTTTTCAAATTTCGAAGAAAAAATGATCAGATAAGATTTTTTGAATTTCGAAAATAATCAGGTTAGAATTTTTTGAATTTCAAGTCCAATTTTTGATTACAATTTGTCGATCAAATTAACCAAATTTAAGAAAACTAGTTCAGATAATTTTGAATTGAACTCAAAAAATGCATATATATCTAAGTTCATTCATAAATGCATTAAAATGAATTTAGGCTCTTCTGTACTTATTATTCGAGCTTTTTGACACTTAAGTGAAAAAACAAAACAAAATCATTAAGACCAATATAATTGACAATCAATTAATTCTTTTTTGTATTAAGATACACTTCAAAAAACGTGTAATATATTCCTGCAGCAATTTAATCTATCCTCAAATCTAAAGTTTCAATGTTATGTTTTAAACTGCATTTGAATTGAAAAAGTAGTACCGATGATTTAATGGCAAAATAATTTACACAGAGGCGAAGCTGCGCTTCGCAAACACTTGCGAGAACACGACCAAAAGCAGCTCTATCAATAGAAATAAGAAAACGTAAACATAAGCCTCGAATTTGCAAAAACTGAAAAAGCTGCGATCTAGCAAATTTGAGTCTCACGCACTAACCATTCAGCCACGGATGCTTAAAATCCCCAAAAACTAGCCATCAATAACGCACGTACATATGCTAATAAATTGCCAATTAGATGCAGCAAAAGAAGCACCAAATACAAAAAGACACAATTTTGCATGTGATAAATTGCAAATCGTAAAGCCACATTATGTATAAATTATGCATTTCAAAAACTTGCGAGATACATTGAGTTCAAAAACTTCTCAAATCTTTTTCATAATCCGAAACAAATTAGGCCTAAGCAAAGCTTTTCAAAAATCCGAAACAGTTTTTCATCGACAAAATAAGGATATTACCAGGTCGGATTTATTGAACTTACAATTTTCAGGAATAAATCGAAAACTTTTTTTAAATACAATGAAAATCGCATACAGCACAGAAAAAATCTGTGATGTTGCAACTCAGCCGATGAAACAAAACCAGACAAACAAAAAGCCGATCATTTTTTGAAAGGCAATATTTCCTTTATGCCAAAAATAATGTCCTGCCCAGAACGAACCTATGACATTCGCCCTTCCAGGCGTAGCCGTTACCAAAAGGCTGGGGAGACGCCATTTATTATCTGCTAATCTATTAAATGATTCAAGTGATTATGTTAATCAAATTAAAGCTCCATTCCACTCCCCCAACGATGATTTTCAATTTTGAAAAATTACTTCAATATTGTTAAGATGCAATGAAACTTGGCATGATCAACAAATTAGCAATTGTGTGTGACAAATGTGTTCTTAATTCTTTACATCGTAACTCAACGCGCTTAGCCATAGTTACACGTAAAACAACTATAGAAAGAGAAAATTTGAATGGTGAGGGAGTGGTAAGAGCCCAAGTTGCTAGCCTAAAAAAGTCTATATCCAGATTTGATAACGCTTGATTATCGCAAGCGTAATTATATAATTACCACCTGGCGAACCAGAGAAAGAATCGAGGAACAGCTAGTCCAGACAGATCTTGCTAGGAATGTTATCCCTATTTCACAACTCCCCTTCGTCTATAGGACCTAGAGACGAATATCCACCCCTACAAGGGATTTATTCATAGGCTAAGCGAATATTGAGCCTCTTAACTAATCCTCCTCCATTCTTGCAATATAGAAGAAACTGCAAACAAGACTTCTGACATACACACGCACCTTTGGAGTCGACCTCGTTGACGTCTGCGCCTGCGTCGATGAGCATGAGGGCTATCCGAGTGTGGTTGAGTGCCACTGCCTCGTTCAGAGGACTGATGCCATGTTTAACTGCACAAGAATTCGGCTCACTCACCCACGGAAAGTTCACATCCACTCCTGACAAAAAAAAACAACACACGTGGTAACCGACATTATCCAATCATTTTAAATACCAGATTTTATCGATTTTTCATTAAAGATTTCTTATTATTAGAAATCATTTTGATGGAAACCAAAGATCGCATTACTGACCCTGTTCTATGAGTGAGGAGACAGTAACTGAATCATTCTTCATGACTGCCACGTGCAATTGCTTCACCTCCGTTGGCATCAGCTGTAGATACATGTTCGTTTTCGAGTCCCCTTCCCCCTCGCCTGGACACGCACACACGTTGCACTTGCTACTGCTGCTGTTACTGCTACTTGCTGCATTTGTCTTATCTACCAAAGATTCCTTAGCCCTGCTTTTGTTCCTTTTCACTCGGGACCTTCAAAAATTTCGAAATTCCTAATCTACAGACATAATCTCACAAACCAGACTACAGAAAAGTCGATGGTTCGATTTGATAATGGTTGCTATACACACGCGTTATTCTAAGTGGAAATAGATTTCTCTTAAGCAGGAGCTGTTTACACTTGATGATCTTGAATGAAAAACTGACAGCTGTTACAACCAAAATCCGAGAAGACAAAAATGAACACAGAGGCGAAGTTGCACTTCGCATGCACAAGCAAAAATATGACCGATAACGCTACTGGGAAAAACTGAATGAGTAAAACTTTGAGTCTACAAAATTTCTCAAGTGACGCACGACAATTATAATTCAACATAATTGCTAAGTGACGCAAGCCAATTATTAGCAGTACCAGTCAATTAGCAGTACCAGTCAATTTTTTTAAAAAAAAAGAAACTAGAGGCCAGCTCAAGTTGGAAATACCTGTTCGATCATTTTTGACATTTTTGTATTGATGCGGAAGGACAAGCGTAATTTCAAAAACAGACCTATATCAAAGAAAAGTAAATATCAATACAATGACTTGAAAATCTGTTTCATCAATAACTTCAGTTTTCATAAAAATAGAAGTGATTACAAGAGCTTGTTAGATTGAAAGATGCTTAAAACGTTGCTCATTAGATTTGGGTGGGTAGTTTTCAAAAAAATCGAGATTTTGACTTTTCCGAGGGTCATAACTTTTTGACAGTTAAGCCCAACTTTAAAAAAAAAAAATTGGACGTAACTGTTTATGCAAGCAAAAAAAGGCGTAGCGGCCGTGCAGGGGAGCTTCTCACGACCCCTCTTTTCGATTGAAACTAAAATCTCAGATTTGGGAGGGTAGTTTTTGAGAAAAGTCAAAAAGTTTCAAAAAACGGTCAAAAATTCGAAAATTTGACTTTTCTGAGAGTCATCATTTTTGTTGAAAAAAAGGCGCGGTCGCTGTGGAGGGGAGCTTTCCACAACCTTTTCTATCAGTGGAACCCAAAATCTCCAATTTAGGAGGATAGTTTTTGAGAAAATGTAGAAAATCCAAAAGTTTTGGGTAAAAAATTCCCCCACACACTTTTTCGCAGACTGTAGAAAAAGGGGTAAGGTTAAAAGAGACTAGGGGATTATGCAGGCACACAAGGGAATGGGCGGAACTTCCATTGGTACCACTTTTTTTTGAAAAATCGGTAATGGTTTTCGAGAAAAACTAATTTTTTGAAAAAAATGAAAAATTTTTCCAAAGCGTCTTAAAAGAACAAATAAAAAAACCCAATCCCAAACATTTTCATAATACCTATTTATAATAAAACAGGAATTTACCAACTAACATGCCTCAATTTATAGAGCGGACGCATTTTAATTAGTAAACGAAAAAGTTCATTAAAAACATCCGACCCTGCCAAGGTTCGAACCCTCTTATTTTGTTGCTGGTCTCCTTCCCTACCTCTACGCTACAGATCCATGATACCTTGAATCCAAAGTTCCATTTGTGATATAATAGTCTGTGTTAATATCCTAAGCATTGGCTGTACTTAATAGCTGGATTAAAATGAACACTTTCAAAATGAACACATTTTGTCGCAACAATTGCATCGCAACAATATTTGCGACCTAGGTTGGAAAAAAAGATAATTCATACTATAACACAAGCTATGCTTGTGTAAACAGTCAACAAAAGGGTGGGAAAGAGCAAAAATCAAGCTATCAAAAATTGATTATTAATTGTACATTTTTCAAATTTCGAAGAAAAAATGATCAGATAAGATTTTTTGAATTTCGAAAATAATCAGGTTAGAATTTTTTGAATTTCAAGTCCAATTTTTGATTACAATTTGTCGATCAAATTAACCAAATTTAAGAAAACTAGTTCAGATAATTTTGAATTGAACTCAAAAAATGCATATATATCTAAGTTCATTCATAAATGCATTAAAATGAATTTAGGCTCTTCTGTACTTATTATTCGAGCTTTTTGACACTTAAGTGAAAAAACAAAACAAAATCATTAAGACCAATATAATTGACAATCAATTAATTCTTTTTTGTATTAAGATACACTTCAAAAAACGTGTAATATATTCCTGCAGCAATTTAATCTATCCTCAAATCTAAAGTTTCAATGTTATGTTTTAAACTGCATTTGAATTGAAAAAGTAGTACCGATGATTTAATGGCAAAATAATTTACACAGAGGCGAAGCTGTGCTTCGCAAACACCAGCGAGAACACGACAAAAAAAGCAGCTTTATAAAGTGAAATAAGAAAAGATAGAAATGAGCCTCGAATTAGTAAAACTTTGATACACATGGGCTTCGAACCTAGGACCTCGATGATTGGAGTCTCGCGTCCTGCCCTCTCGGCCATGAATGCTTAACCGGCAAACACTATTCACAAATAAAGCAGCTAAATATTCTAAAAAAATCGCCAATGCTATGCAGCAAAAGTGGCACCAAATGCAAACAGACACCAAATGCAATTTTGCAAGTAATAATTTGGAATATAACAAACTCAAGGCATCCACACTAATTTTATATATAGCAAACTGGAAAGCATAAAGCCACATTATGCATAAATTATGCATTTCAAAAAACTGCAAGATATATTGAGTTAAAAAATATCTGAAATCGAGTTTATATTATTGTTATGTTGTTTGAAACAAATAGCTTGTTCGATTCTTTTGATGAATTTCAAAATGTATCAACTATGTTAACTTATTACTATTAGAATTTCAAAGCATATGCTATCAAAAAGCCGTAAAGTTGCCCCAAAAGTGGCACCAATATTAGTGACTTTGATGAGAAAAAAAAGGATAGTCGTAGTATGACACTAACGCTCACTAAAGTTCGCTTGTGTGATCATACATTAGGATTTCAACCCACGAACTACCACTACTCATGAGTAAGTCAATAACAAGCTGGCGCAGCATCCGATGATTTTTGCTACAAAAGAAGTACGATACCCGAAAAAGTGACTTTCTTGCTCTTAGCGAAACCTAGGATTGCCAGAATAACTGTTTAACGGTCAAAACGACGCTCAAATCAGTCTCCACATTTGACAGTTGTGGATTACTGAAAAAAATTGATCTGCAGACGAAACGATATCTGTGAGTCGCTTCTAACAATAATAGCAACAGTAAGGCCACAAAATAGAAAAATGGGGCAAAATCGGCAAATTTATTCAAGGGGCAAATAAAAAAAGCGACGAAATTAGACTTTTTGCTGTTGGTAATCGTGCAGTTTATTAGAAACGCGAAGTGTAAGCCGGAGCAGAGCAACAAAAATTTTTAGGAAAAGGAAACAAAAAAATATATATAGGTAATAATTAGGAACAATAAACCAAGACAGCATTTGTGCTGTTTTCCGCCTTTTTTGGTTATTTCACGCCAGTTTGTTTTAAATTTTAAAGGTAAAGTTTGACCTCAAAAACATTCACGAGCGCGGGATGCTTTTTTTCCGAGCACATGAGCATTCTGCGTAATACATGGATGCTAGACTGAATATGTTTTCTGCTCTCAACTCGTTTTTATTTAATTTCTAGAAATAGTATCTTTTATGCATACCTTTACAAATTCAAGCATGTGAAACGTAATATCCAATCAATCTTACTTGACGTTTTGTGCAAAACTTTTTGAGCTTTACTTCCTGAAGCTGGTGTACATTTCAAGTGAACAAATCTGTACAGAAAACTTTTGTAATAAAGTGTTCTCAATTAGATTTGATCGTTGCTGAATCGTCATTCGGAAAATGAATGCGAAAGCTCAAGCTTTGCTATCGTCCTTACAATTTAGCAATTAAACTACACGACAGGAAAAAGACTTCCACAACCAAAAACTGTTATTTAGACTACTCATGGTTTTTTTTCACTCACTGGCTAGCCTGCTCTGCACTAGTCGGGTAGTAGTATTGCACTCCTTTGCCAGTAACTCCAGTACCACTTATCCCAGTCCCATCAGTCTCGACTATATTTATACCTGGATCCACGACTCTACCTTGTGGGGTGTCAGTCCTCGGCGGGTGTCGAGAACTTCTTCTGGGGTTGTGAGAAGAGGAGGAAAAACGAGGAAAACAGAGGAAGTTACTCATTTTGTTCTCTAAAGAGCCGAACTACCAGAGTCTTAACTTCAGACACACTGAATAGAAAATGTCGTTGAAAATGCCAACTTCAGAGGCATCACCTCACGATAAGCGAATCGACTTTACTCGTGGTTCACTGTTTTATTCATTGGCTTTATTCTCGCAGCAGGAGCCCTTTGATTTCAACTCATCATCGGATATACATACCAAGCTGCACCTTTTTAAGCCAGCAGTAATCAAGTTTCGAAGCAAAGCGATCGATCTCATCTGAAATTGATACACCAAATTTTGTACACTGAAACTGATTCCCTCACTAAGTTTTGGTGGCTCTCATTTTAATTGCACTTTCTAGAAAAGTTTCCAGGCTCATATAAAATATGTCATGCAACCATCATTTCTGCTCAGATTGGGCTCGAATGAGGAGCCTGGACTGTATCATAGAAAAACAGATGAAAAAAGAATCAGTTTGAACTCATAGAGATAAATTATGTACAAACAATTTAGTTAGCTCTTGCTTTGGCTATTATTTTATCGACATCTGCAACGAAAAAAAAAACAGCTATTATCTTTCACATGCGCAAAGCACAACACAACAATTACATTATTTTGACCCTTTTCAACAATTTTTTCCAGAAATAAAATTCATCATCATACATCTGTCGAAGTAAGAATTCAGAGGGTCAAACGCAATTGCAACTGAACCGAAATATTCAGTCCATTATCATCGGGATCTCGCCACTGAAGGGCACACGCAATGTAGAAAAATAAAGCTATTGTACACAAACTAACAAATGATCAATTATCCTTCAGCTGCAATGTTGTTTCTACTCATTGTAAATTTTAATTGAAGTTAATTTAAGTGAATCTTCAAATTTGGCTAAGAGAATTTGGGATTGCCACTATTAGTCTAAATTTTACTGAAAATCATATCATATAGCTTTGACAAACAGAGTGGTTTTCAGTCCATTGAACATCAATTCATTTTAGGCTATGTGACAGTTCGGTCAGGTGAACGAAGAGTAAATCGGATTGCATACAGACAGAGCAGGATACGAGTTGGACAAAGCACCTTCAGAGACTCCGTTGCTATTACCCAAAAACTCCGTCTGACCACCCGAACTAGCACCGATAATTGCAGCAGCTCCGTCCCTACCTTGACCCGCTATCGCTGTGTCGGATTTGCGAAGGTTTAGAGATTCATTGGCCCTCAAAAAATTTCCATTTTGAGCTGCTGAATCATTTTCAGAAGTAGGACTGTCTTCGTTTGCCACGCTATCAAGACCCAAGTTAATGTATTCAGTTGAAAATGGATTTGAAGACGATTCTTGTTCTGGAGACTCGGTGTAAGGTGGCGGGGGATCTTCATGATCGGATAAGGGTCTGTTTTGGTCGAACGTAGCACCATACTCCGGTTCAGGGAGTGCAACAACAAGCGCTGTATTATAAACGAAATCATTCGAACTCCCATTCGAGCTCTGAGGCCTTTGACCTACTTTGCGATGTCTTCGGCCACTGCTTGATTTCGACGACAATGTGTCGGATCTCGGTTTTCGCTCTGAGGAACTGTGACTTCGAGATGAGGTTGCCAGAGGTACGTGAGGCAATGGTTGCGGAGGTCTATTGGCCATAAACTCATTTGTTCCGTAGGCTCCATAATTACCATATACGCCTACTCCTGACGATGATGCTCCGGCGGGCAGTGTTTCTGAAGCATAGCTTCCATTGTAATCTGCGACTCCCGCGGCAAAAGTACTGGCGCCCATGGTACTGGTGCTTCTTTCAAAAGGGTTGTCAAAGTCGCTCAAGGTGCCTCCTCCTAGATTTTTTGAATTAGACTGTATCTGCTTCTTTTCTGGTTTGTATGTTGGGAGTTCGTAGCTGGTCGCTGGAAGCTGTTCGCTTTTGGCTGGCTTGTCTTTCGGCTGGATGTTGATATTAACATTTCCTCTGATATCTTGTCTACACCATGGACACTCCGCTTTAGTCTGTTTCTAAAATAAAATTAAAACTCAAAATTAATTTTCTTTTCAGCATTAACAAACTCTACGTTGGTTAATTAGCCTAGAAAATTCAATTACAAACCAATTAGAGCATACGAGAATTTTTCTTCTGCTTTAAAAGAATCGCAATTCAAAGTCATCTTTTTTTTAGTACACATTTGGAAAAACCAATTTTCATGTCACTTTCAATTACAGATTTTGATTTAGAAACTCCAATGAACAGCTAATAAAAAAGGAAATCATCGTTTCTATAAAAGTGGATATAGCTTCTCACGGCAATGTGAATGACTTAAAACGCTTTCAGATGCAGAAAATTCAATTCTACTCGACATCCTAGGAGTTCCCAAAAAATGTGAAGAAACAGACGCGATTACATGGAAACAAGGATAGCACATATTATTCCGACAACAATGATTTAAGAAAAATAGAAAAAAGTGCTTTTCGAAAAAAAATTGGGAAAATCAAGTTTTCAGAAAAGGGACAAGTAATTTATAAAAAAACTGCAATAATGAGATAAAAAATCAATGAATAATAATGATAGAAAAAGTAAATTATGAACTGGTCTTGTCTGAAAACGGAAAAACGTAGCCAGATAACTTGATACTTCGATTTTGGACCACGGAACGCGTTTTCATTCAAAGTTGTCAAAAACACGCCATTGTTCCTTTTCAAGCCTACGATAACAACAACAAAAGCGAAAGTGTTTGACAGTAGCTTAGCATGGTCCATTTTTATGGAAATTGTTACACTAAGGACCTTTCAATTGATTTCAAAAGCAGGCCATAAATATTTTCAGAGCTGACTGAATTTTCAAAGAACCGTTTGCATAGAAAAAAGCTGAGTTCTGCCTTACTTCCGATACAATTCAAGCGTAGCAATCCAAGCTAAGGAACTGAAATTGAGTGCGAAATCAGTGAGTCGAAAAAAAATGTAAAAAGAAAAAAGATCAATTTCAGAAAAACAGTCGAAACTGGATCACCATTTTCGAATGAGCTCTTAGTATCAATTATCAAACGGTCAGCAAGCCAACACTACTTGGGTAGAGACCCACTGGGCCTAAAAAATAACATACGAAATTGTTGACATGAAAAAACCACAAGTTTTGAAATTTAATAGCTCAAATTATTTTTTTAACAACAACTTCCTATCACAATTTTTGTTTACAGCTCAGTGGCGTTTACCCAAGTATCATCAGCTTAGTTGTTGTTCGATAGCTGCAACTAAAAATCTATTCAATGGTGGTGGCTCTGTTTCTCGACCGTTTTTTACACCACGAACCTCCAGGAATATAATCAATCAATAATGGAATTTTAACACTTCGTCCCACACCCTTGTAAAGAGTGAAGCAATATATTTAACATCAACTAACAAATTATTGTTCCGACTTTCGAAGCAAACGAAATATTTCTTTTTGGGTTGTTTTTTTATTCAGTCAACTTTCGGCGATCGAAATAACAGTTTTTGACAAAAAAAATTTAAAGCCCGTTGAAGATATTGACTCTGCAAAATAAAATATAAAAAGATACTTGACCACCGATCATTTTTTGTTAAGTTCTTGGGGTTTGAAAATTGCCAATTTAGCCAATTCTACCACAGCAACTGACCCTGATCTGCTCGAGGCACTGTCTGCAAATAAGGTGTCCACATGGTTCTATCTTGGTGTCCTTCTGTCTCTCGTAGCACAGTTTGCACTCTTCGTAGGTGGAGTCCATCAAATGGTAGATCTGCTGCTCCTCCTCACTCACTACCAGCTGCTCCACTTCCACCACACCCTCCGCCTTCAAGTCTGGGTTGTAGTCCTCCCCATTCGGATACAGGTAACTAGAAACAAGAGAACAAGATACAAGACGTCCCATATCAATCCATCAAGTACATATCATAAATGCACACACAACATGCATGAGTTTTTCTTCACATTCAGACAAAAAAAACTGAATAGAAAACCAAACTTTTGCTTTTTCTTTGAATTTGTGTTACAAGACGACACTTGCCAACGCAAAAACCACAATCATATGCATGCGTTTTCATATGCATGCATTCATTCAGACTAAAAAGCATCAAATAACATCATTTTGCTTTCAATTTTCTCTTTCTAGTGATTTTGAATCTAGCAACATTCGGTCGATTCTCATGTTGTGAATATTTATTGATTCTTTACAGGCGCATCAGAACGCAAGTTGTTTGATTAAGTCAACTTAGGTCATTACTCTTGGGAATACGCTAGTAATATAATTTTAAGGCCCATTAAAATGCTAATCTTGAACAACATCGATCTTTCTGGCTGTCTCGCTGCAGCACTTCACATACACAATCGAAAAAAAAATCCTGAAAAAGCTACTACTGATTTGAAGATTTTGTCATGCTCTCCGATAGAAACGAATATCAGCGGGACCAAAGTCGACTAACACTAAACAATTTTAAAAAGTGCCTTGGGTAACAATATACATCGAACATAAGGGGAGAGCGCGCGACAGAAAAAAAAGCAGTTCTGTTGGTCAAAACCATTCATAAAGTGCCCTAAGAAGTCATTTATGGCTGGTTTTCTTTAAAATTTAACTGCAGATAAAAAAGACTTCAAAAAACTTTGAGAGCTCGAAGATTCCGAATTAGATACCCCGCCAGTATTACTAGGGTTTGTTAATACGAGAACTACTCACTATCTGTCTTCGACGCCCCTGTTGAGAGCCTCTATGAGGGTGGGGGTGCTGGGGATGGTCTGCAGGATCTTGCCATGCCCATCCACGTACCCAATGCTCCACTGGCCCAACTTAGTACAGCTCACACGGAACACGTAGCTGAAAAAATATTTTAACAGCTATATTACTAGTTTCTTTAATTCAAATTTTGAAAAATCATAAACACGTATCTCGAGAACTTAAAGGGACTTTGGAGAATTGGATGCCAGATTTGCAAACACTGAGAGTAACCTGAGAGCCTTCCACTAAAGGGTTGGGAATTTCAAATTTCGTTAATTTTTTAAACCCAACTTTCCCCGAAAACAAAAAATGAAAAAAAAACGTCATATCTCGGAAACTAAAAAAATTTGAGAAATCAAATTTAGAGGCGAAGGTTGTCTCACTATAAGGCTGGGAATTTAAAAATTTGTGAAACTTTTTGTAAGCAAGTTCTTTGAAAAATTTTTTCAAAAAAACGTCACATCTCGACAACTTAAAGATTTGAGCAGTCGCATTTGGACGCAAAACTTGCAACCCCTGAGATTACCCTCAACCTACGCAATTATAGGGTGGGAAATTTCAAAACATTTTGAATTTTTTAAGTTTTCTGAAATTTTTGGAAACCATGACATACGTCATATCTCAGAAAATACAAGGATATGGGCAGTCATATTTGGAGACAAGATTCGCCACCCCTGAGAGAACATTGACAGCGCCTCACTATAGAGAACGAACCTCCAAATTTTGTGTAATTTTCTTATATCTAAGTTCTTTGAAACATTTTAAATAACATAAAAATGTCATATCTCGGAAATAGAAGCTTTTGAGCGTCTCATTCGGACGCAAGATTTGTAACTCCTGAGATTACTCTCACATCCCTTTACAACAGGGTTGCGAACTTCAAATATTTTGAATCTTTCAAAATCTATGTTTTCCGAAAAATGAAAACAAAATCATAAGAAATGTCATATCTCGAAAACTACAAGGATTTGAGCAGCCATATTTGGAGGCAGGACTCACGATTCCTGGGAGTACTCTCCCTGACTGCACCCAACTACAGGGTTAAGAATCTTATAGGCTAAAAAAAATTAGGTGTTCATAATTGGAGGCCAAATTCGCAACTCCTGGGGAGAACCCTGACAGCATGCCATTATTGGGCTGTTAATTTTGAACTCAGTGAAAAAAAACACTGAATTCTAACTGAAAAATAAAAAAAAAATCTTAACCATTGCAATATACGATATAGCTTTAACGGGAAAAAGTTGAAAGACATTGAAAAAGCTTAATCGTAGCGAGATAGTGAACCCCGCATTTGAATATATAATAGCTACCAGATAGATAATAGATTTATAAACTTCGGCTCTTCAGCACAAAAAATTCCAACCACAATGATTTGAATGAAGAATCTCAAAAATAATGGGAAATAAATTCGTGAACTGGTCGAAACGAAGACGCAAGTGAAATCTTATCGAAATAGGGTCTTCATAGGGTTCTGGTAGTGCTCGGGAAATCAATTTGGTTGACCTAAGAAAACATAGGTCGACAAAGTTTTTTGTTCTTTTGAAAATACGCCCACCTCCAGCCCCTTCAGAAAATCCTAGATCCGCCCCTGCCACAAGCCATAACAGGACGTAGTTAACAGTAGCTTCGAAAAATAAAAAAGGATGCTATCGGACTGAACAGACGATGAAATTGAAGGACTTAAGTACAAGTAAACACATGCTTTATTTAGTGGGAACTACGCCCATGGCAGGAGGTCTGAATCACAGAAATCTTCTAACATTCAAATATCTGGATTATGGATATCTGGTTTATGCATTTCGATTGGCTGGTATAATTTTTCGTCATTTGGTTAATCAGCCACAAAGGACTATCCTTTATGTGGTTAGAGGCCTGTCTTTTGTTGCCTCACCTGCCGGGACGGGACTTATGTTTGCCCAAAATGGCACATACTTCATCGTACGTCTTGAAACCCATATGAGCCGGATGACTGGTAATCTGGAGCCAGTTCTTAATTAAGTTGCGGAATGGGTGAAAGAGTCTGACGAAGATGTCGAACTCAAACACTGACACGTAGCCGTTCTCCGTGATGTCGAATGTTTCCCGCAGACGCAGGGACTCTTCACTGGACATGATCTCGAACTCGTTTTTGGCAGAGGTGAACACGCGCACAAAGTGCGACCAGTGCACGATGCACCTAAACATGCGAGCAGTTCCAATCACATTAATTAAAAAACAAGAAAGCTTCAAAGTTCTCTATTGATGAATACTGAAATATAAACCCTATTCTAGCTCAACTTGAGAGTAAAAAATACTGTAAATTTGAACTTGAACTTGCTGGGTAATTCTGTGGGTTACTTTCATTATACGGTCATTACTTAACTACTAGTTTGGGGTCACACCGATTTGAACAATAACTGGCTACACTTGCAATGCAATCTCAACATGTTCAATCTATTACTTCGATAAAATAGAGTGGCAACTGCAACAGTTGAAGTAGAAATTGAATTACACCCTTCTTTATCCTTTCTGTCATTAAAGGGAATACTTGATCAGTTTTTTAATATCAAGAATAACAATATACTCACTGTTTGGGGAAATGGTGTTGCCAGAATGTGTTACCCTCTTGTTTGGTGACCTTGAACTCACTACCTGTGAAGACACTGGAGTCCTGTTGGACACTGACATTGAACATGGCCTCAAACTCTTTCCACATGTTGGACAGAATCAGAGAGATGTGACTCAATTTCAACCTAACAAACAATGAGAACTTGATCTATTTCACAACCAATTTAAATTTCTAGCGATCAGTCGGTTCATTTTAATGTCTTATTTTTAATTTCGCTTTTAATCGCCAACATGTTTGACCTCGAAACTTTCCAAAATTTGAACGACGAATTGAAATACGAGCTGTATAAAGACTTGATCGAAAATGTTACTTATTTTAAACGAATTATCGAAAACTTAACTGTATCAACGAAAGATGAAGAAAAAGGAAACAAATTTATTGATCTAGAAAATTTTAAAAACACTGGCAATTCGAAAATTGCAGAAAACAAATTTGAAAATGAATGGAGCAAGATTGAAACTCGGAGCAGAAATCAGAACAAGCGAAGCGAAAATAACCAAGAAATCAAAATACAAGCAACCAATATTCAAGAAGAAAAAATCGACCAACAACGAAAACATTTATTTTTACCACGAGAAGGAGAATATTCTGGCCTATTACTGGGAGACTCAATTGTTAACAGAATCAATGGGGAACAAATATCGGAAAATGTGTTGGCGAGAGGATTTGGTGGGCACACAATTTCTGCATTGCTGGAACGCAACGCGTGAGAAATAGTAAATCGCGACATTTTAAACATGTAACTACGCTAATTGGAATAAATGACTGCCTCTCAAATGATTTCGACGCGAAGGAAGCCGTGAGTAGCTTAGAAAAACTAATTTATCTCGTAAATCATAAATTCTCCCCAGAAACAATTTCACTATGTACTGTAACTCCCTTAGGCGCTTTTAGAAAAGATTTTAATCCAAATGTACAGAAGCTAAACAAGCAAATTCTTAATTTACTACGGAATGTAAAGGACTTGGGCGAAGTAAAATTGGATATTTTAGACATAAACAAAAATTTTAGTCAAAATACCGATGCGCTTAGCTCGGATGGTTTGCATCCTTCTGATGGGGGTGTTGAAATTTTGGTGCAACGTTTTAGAGATTCTTTTAGAGGTTCTGATATTAATGCAAACACATGTGAGATTACAACCCGCCCCAGAATGAAGCAAACCCAACAATCATCAAATTTAGATCCAAAAACGGCAGAATACCAATATCTTACAAACAAAAAGAAGGCTTTTCAAATACATTGAGACTACCGACTGCCAATTATAGGCTCAACAAAAGAACGAAACAAATTATTTTTGACAAACATTGTTGAACCGCTTCTCTACAAAAATCATTTTTTCATTTGACTTCTAAAAAATGGAATTCACTGCCCATAATTTTGCGCAATTTAGAAAAATCGAGAACAGGATTCAAGAAAAAATTTAAAGAATTTTACGTGAGTGAATTGAGAAACAATCCAATATGTACAAATACAAATAAGTGGCGTGATTTCCGTTTTTGCTAGTTCTATATGTTTTAATTTAGTTTAATTTTTCACACATTATTTGAAAGAGAATATGTATATACTCTGTATATACGCTGTATGTTTGGACTATCTGTAAAATTGTTTGTAAAGTTTTAATACCAGCTCGTTCTTAATTCTTAAAACTGATGTTTTTTTTAGTATGCGTAACTTCATAAATTTTAATCAACCAATTTCTGAACTGTAACCGAACTTGTTTTGTTTTGTTTATTGCTTGTTTTCTGATGTTGTGTTTTTGTTTGATGTAACCAATGAATTTTAACCAACATTTTTATCTACACTTTGCTATACTGATGCCTCGGCTTTTATTGTATAGTAATTCAGGTGTTCTTTCTTCTTCTTCTTCTTCTGATCTTCACTGAGGATATAGGCATTGGAAATCTCGCAAAAACAGTCTTTGGGAGGCAAATTTTCATAAACCTCTTAAAAAGTAACAGCCAACAGGCAAAGCTCGAAAATTGTGAGTGAAAGTTAAAAAAACGCCTTTTCAAAGAAAAATTTAGCTTTTGAGGTCTTTGAGATTTAAGAAGCTTTGATAATCGACAATTTTAAGACAACCAAATTTGAGAAATTTGGATCAATAAGTAAATTAATTATTCTGCTGGAAACATAGATAATGCATTTTCAGTTTCTAATAAAATTACGCTTCTGGGTGATTATAACATAAATTACGTGGATAGCAAAGAAAAAGAAAATTTAGATTCTATAATTATTCCATATGGATTGAAGGTTTTTTGTCAAAACGATGAGACCAGAATTAGTTCCTCAACTAAAACTCATATCGACTACATTATCAGTGACTATGAAACAAACGGCATTGGATTTTGTTTTGATACACCATATAAAACCGACCATTTTGCTTCATTTATTTTGACGGATATAAAATGCGGCAAAAGTTTACCGAGGATAATTTCGACTTTCAATAAGGAAAATTATCAGAAAAATGAATTTTGCAATACACTCTCCGCTCTTCCTTGTTATCTCTTATATCAATGTACAGACGCACAAAACATGTTCTCGACAATGATTTATTTAATTTCTAGTGCTCTTCAGCAACATGCTCCTATCGAAAAAAAATTTGTTCGTAATTTTAAACCAAAAAATGTGTTGAAAACGGAATGGTTCGATTCAGAATGTCAGCAATTGATGACTAAGAAACAGAATTCACTCAGATCATATCGCAGTCAAAGCACAAGCGATAATTGGTCAAAGTACCAGTTTTTACGTAATCAAATGAGCCAATTGATTAGAAGTAAACAACTCGATCATTCAAAAAATAGTTTTTAACTTCTCAGCACTATCCAACAAAAATGGAAATATATTAACCAAGTTAGAGGTACATGTTCTGGAAACAATCGAATTACAGTTCTACGAAATTCCTTCAGTGAAATGATAACCCAAGACAAAAAAATTGCCAATCATTTAAATTATATTTTTTCAAACTTAGGCGAATTTTTCGGCGCTAAAAAGCCTCCGAATTACAACAAATCTGCCTCTGAATCTGCGCCTTTCCATTTTCAACACATTACAGTGAAGCAATGCTTTGATATAGTTCGAAAAATCAATGTCAGAAAACCACTCGGACCTTGTACCGTACCTGCTTGGGCAATCATTGACGGTCAATCAGTTTTAGTTCCACATTTAACTTTTCTCATAAATACTTGCTTAGATGAGAACATTTTCCCGATCGAACTGAAAAAAGCACACGTAACCCCTTTGCTTAAAAAAGATGACCCAATGGATGCAAAAAATTATCGGCCAATATCAATAACTTGTGCTTTTTCTAAAATTTTGAAAAAATTTTGCATGCCCAAATAACAGAACATCTTGACAAATTTCAAATAATGACACCATTTCAATTCGGATTTCGCAAAAACATTTCAACACAAGATGCTCTTGTTTATGTGACAGAAAGTATTCGAAATCAAATAGATTCAAAAAAAATCGTACATGCAGCTTTATTAGATCTGTCCAAGGCTTTTGATTCTATTTCGCATGAAGTTTTAATTGAAAAAATGCTTTCTCTCGGTTTTTCAAATGGAGCAAATGCTTTAATTGCTAGCTTCCTAAACAAACGTATTCAAAGAGTAAACGTCAATGGAATCTTTTCAGACTGGATTGAAATCAAACGAGGTTTCTCACAAGGAACGGTACTTGGTCCGTTGTTGATCATTTTATATGTTAATGACAAACAAGAGCGATTATATGAAGTTTGTACTTTAGTTCAATATCCTGACGACTTTATGGTTTTTTCCTCTTCTATAATTTCTGAGGATGCTTTGAATCGATTACAAAAATCACTCAATAATCTAACGGAATTTTTTGCAGAGAACCAATTCTGAATGCATCTAAATCGGAATTTATAACATTTTGTCAAAAAAATGATAGCAAAAATGTAGATACTGATACAATAGTAATTAATGGGCATTATGTAGCCAAAAAATCAGAATGCAAATATTTAGGCCTTATTCTTGATTCAAGTTTATCTTTTCATGCTCAAATCAAAACAATTCTCCAAAAAATGGCACAAGGAATTAAAACTATAGATACAATTGGACAACAACTGCCGACATTATCATTAGTTGCCTTGCTTCATTGTCTTGTTTTATCACATTTAGATTATTCAGCAATATTTTTAATACAAATTAATGCTACTTTGATGCTATCTCTAGAGAAACAGTTGAACTGGGCGTCAAAAAGAACATATTTCAGATCGAAATTTAAATCTTCTTCCCTTCTTCGCATTAGCAAATCGTTCATTGGAATCGAGAAAAGAATTGAGTTAAAGTGTATAACATACTTATACCAATATCTTACAAACAAAAAGAAGGCTTTTTAAAATACATTGAGACTACCGACTGCCAATTATAGGCTCAAAAGAACGAAACAAATTATTTTTGACAAACATTGTTGAACCGCTTTTCTACAAAAATCATTTTTTCATTTGACTTCTAAAAAATGGAATTCACTGCCCATAATTTTGCGCAATTTAGAAAAATCGAGAACAGGATTCAAGAAAAAATTGAAAGAATTTTACGTGAGTGAATTGAGAAACAATCCGATATGTACAAATACAAATAAGTGGCGTGATTTCCGTTTTTGCTAGTTCTATATGTTTTAATTTAGTTTAATTTTTCACACATTGTTTGAAAGAGAATATGTATATACTCTGTATATACGCTGTATGTTTGGACTATCTGTAAAATTGTTTGTAAAGTTTTAATACCAGCTCGTTCTTAATTCTTAAAACTGATGTTTTTTTAGTATCCGTAACTTCATATATTTTAATCAACCAATTTTTGAACTGTAACCGAACTTGTTTTGTTTTGTTTATTGCTTGTTTTCTGATGTTGTGTTTTTGTTTGATGTAACCAATGAATTTTAACCAACTTTATTATTTACACTTTGCTATACTGATGCCTCGGCTTTTATTGTATAGTAATTCAGGTGTTCTTTCTTCTTCTTCTTCTTCTTCTTCTGATCTTCACTGAGGATATAGGCATTGGAAATCTCGCAAAAACAGTCTTTTGGAGGCAAATTTTCATAAACCTCTTAAAAAGTAACAGCCAACAGGCACAGCTGGAAAATTGTGAGTGAAAGTTAATAAAACGCGTTTTCAAAGAAAAATTTAGCTTTTGAGGTCTTTGAGATTTAAGAAGCTTTGATAAGCGACAATTTTAAGACAACCAAATTTGAGAAATTTGGATCAATAAGTAAATTAATTATTCTGCTGGAAAGCAGAATTTTAACTCCATTTCTAACCCAAATTTAATTTGCACCATTTGCACTTCCGTTATTGGTCAGCGCCCGTTGCCTTCCTATTAGCAAATGAATTTGATGAATTTGAATTGAAATCAAAAACAAATCAAGTCAAATCTTTTTTTCATAATTTTTATTTAACACTTTTCTTGAAAAAAAAACCACACCTATGTAAGTTTCTTCACTTTGTTCACTTTCAAAAATCATGAGCGTGATTAGGTTTCGCAGCTTTCAATTTCAAAAATCAGATAGACTGCCAGATAGTTATTTGAACAAATTAAAACGAATTCAGAATGTAGTTTCTAGATTTGTCTTCACACTAGTGTTCTACTCGAAGTGTTACAGTGCCCCATGTTAGCTTGCCAGTTTATTTTTGCCTAAGCCTTATCGACATAAAAAAAAGAATGAATTGAACTATATCAGAGGTCATTTATTTATAGTGGAGCAATAACATGGAACGCTCTACTTATCTTTGTGCGCTAGGAGAACTTCAAAAAAGCTCTTAAGAAGTAATTATTCTGCGAAGCATTTTAATCATACGGTCCATATTTGCAATGAAAATGGGTGGCAAAGCCTACATCGTCATCATCATCATCAAAGACCAGTTTAAATTATTATAACAAAAGCGTTTTCGTAATTTGGCAATTAGACTGCTGGATTCTTTTTTAGATAAGACTTCCGCAATTTGTTCGAGGCTTTCTAACAATCAATTTTTATTGGCGTATGTTCATTTATAACATTCGGTTATTATGTCAATTCAGGACGCCACCATCGTGCATATTATTCAAGTCGACTCCAAATACCAACAAAAAACTGCGTCGAAAAGCGCAAAAAGGATACTATTTGTTACGCAGCCCCATTATTATCAAGGAATTCAACGAGTTTTTTTTAAAGTTTCAGATTGAATTTCGCTTTAGCTAATTTCTAGTAATCAGATTCTAACAATTTCATCCAACTTTCAAAATAAACAAAAATGCATACTGCAAAGTCGTATAAATGAAAAAAAAAACACCCAAAAAATGACAATCGCTTACCTAGTCTTGGATCTGGCATCTGACAATTCAGATAGACCTTCGTCCTCCTTAAACAGTTGAACGATATCTCTGCATTTCAGATACACATTTGTCAAAAACAACTTCAGATAAATGGCAGAATTTGCCAGGTTTTCCGGAATTTTATACTTGTCCCACAGATGTGTGAAATACTCTGGAAGGAACACTGGCATGTCGGCGTTACTCGTATTGTGAAGAAAGTTCTTATCCGAAAGTGAAATATAGGAAGACAGTTCATGTAAAACTTGCTTAATAGCTGTCTGTAATAAAGGATAGAGCTCAGGTAAAATTTCTAAAATGTAAGGTGGACTGTTTTTTAGTTGAATTCTATCATCCTGGCATAATCTGATGACTTTTTCCATAGCTCTGAAGACTCTTTCATTGCTCTTTGTATCGGCAAGGAAGTTGGGAGTATGCACAGAAAAAAGACTGGGAATCTTCCTGAGAAGGGGCATTTCTAAATCTGAAAATATCCGACTTCATCAGAAGAACAAACAGCATATATTGAGCATAACGGATATTGACCTGTTTTATGTTTTTACTTTCAACACGGTAAGCAACGACATGCTAACAACGAGATGCACTGAAACATTTCGAAGGTTATTTCGGCGCCGTTTGAAAGACTGTTGAACATCAAAAATCTTTTGTTTTGAGCCGGGTCCGATTGAAATAAATCGCATCCTGATAACTTGACAGTTAAAATATATCCTTTGATCTGCACTTCGTTTGATATACATCATCAATTTAATTGTCCGTCTTCAATCCCATATTACATTGAAAAGAATGCCGAGATTGAATTGCCTCAAATGGATGTTATGGAAAAAGATTCTACTACGGCATGAGAGAGAGAGAGAGAGAGAGAGAGAGAAAGAGCAACAGCATGGTATCAGTGAGTGAACGATGAAAAAAGGAGTAATCTACTGGAGGAGGTTTCAAAGCTTTAAACGGACGGTAAAATAATGTAGAAAGGGTGAATTATTTGGGAGAAACTTTAGGGTTCCAATCCAAAACGACAAAATAAAACCGTGTGATATTTTGTCTCGAAGGCATGATGAACATTTTTTAGGGATAGATAAGCAAGCTAGCATACCGAAAAAGAAGCAAAAGCAACTAAGCCGAAGAATTTGAACAATAAAAATGACTACGTAAAAAATAATTAGGCTTCGACACATGAGTTTCAATTTGAAGAAAATTTGATAAATAGCTAAGAAGCTCTGAGCTCTCGAAGAGTTGGCATCGCCCCATCCAGAAGCACCTTGAAAATCTATTATAAACCATCAAACGACGCCATATGAGCTATCTAAGCCAATACATATCGGTCAAAACTGTTTCAGCCATACAGAATTTTTCAGAAAAAAAAATAAAACCGGAATCTATACAAAACGAACTTAATAAAATTACAAATAACAAGAAAATTAAATTGACCCTCAGTTTCAGTAATAAAAACTTCAATTTGCAAAATTTTCATGATGCGAAAACTGAGGCAAAAAAACTGATGAAGGCAGATAGTAGACCGACTATTGAAACTTTCCGAGAAAAACTGTAAAATCAATAATGCTACAAAAACTACTGAAGAGTACTGACACAGCAACCAAATATCCATTATATCAAATCGAATTTTCAAAATAATAGTGGATTTTGTTTTCATTAACGATTTCACCATTTTTCAATGCAAATGATTTCATTTTTCGTAAGAGTAAAGAACAGGTTAAGTTTTATGTTTCTTAAACTATTCGAACAGTAAAAAACTGCATGCGGTTTTTTGTTCAAAACGGATCAATCAACTCTAGTGTCCAATATACCAAAAAAATTAAACTTAAGAGAAACATAAAAAGTCATTATTAAAGGCTGTATCAGATTTTCAGTAGATTAACAAAAACATGGAAATGGAGCAGTGAAAATGGAGTTCACCTTAGCAAAAGATAAGACCATTTTCAAAAAGAATACGTATTGATAGTATTGACTGATCAATTCAAGTCTGAACCTTTTGCTACCAGCTTGATAAACTTGATTTAAAACCATTGCTCTTACAGCCGTTTTTCAAATTTCTAGGTATAAATGCAACGAAAAATGCAGCATAAATAGTAAAGAAGGAAGAGACAGGTATTTATATCATATTACGGAAAAACGTTAGCATTTATATATCAAAAACTACATTATAAGGTCAAGGAACAAATCGCTGAAACACCCACGTAAGATGTTCCGAAAAAAAAACATTCAAAATCCACACAGGCGAAGCTGAGCTTCGCGCCACCTGCGATACAAATATGAATGAACATTTTCAATTCGCAAAAAAACAGGTCTCGAGTTGAATCGAACTACCGGTATCAAGAAGAGGTTTATAGCAGCTTGGAAAAATTGGGCTACGGGAATTGAGCCGACAAAAACAAATAGACGGACGATCGCTAGTGGGAAAAGCTGAATGAGTAAAACATCGAGTCCACAAAATTTCTTAAGTGACGCACGCCAATTATGAGCCTACACAATTGCTAAGTGACGCAAGCCAATTCTGACGCATTATCAACGCCTGTCAATTTGAAAAAAAAATCCAACTAACATGCCTCAATTTATAGAGCGGACACATTTTAACTAGTATACGAAAAAAATTCACTGAAAACATCCAACCCTGTCCATGTTCGAACCCTCTTATTTTGTTGCGGGTCTCCTTCCCTACCTCTTTACTATATATCCATAATATCTTGAAGCTAAAAGGCTATTTGTAATGTAGTCTATGTTAATATCTGTAGCATTGGCTAAACTTAATAGCTGGTTATTGATCAAAATGAACACTTTCAAAATGAACACTAATATTTGCGACTTAGGTTGAAAAAAAAGAGAGCTCATACTATCACACAAGCTTTGCTTGTGTAAATACGCTAGACACCTAGAAACAGGTTAATTGTTTTTCATGGACATCTGTCAGAACAATCTGCCTTTTGTAAAAGACTCATAAAATGATGAAAAGTAATATGTTTTGAAATCAATTTATCAAGATTTTGCCGAAAGAGCCGTAGGAATAAGAAACGGGGCTTAGGAAATTAGAAAACAAGCAAATTAGACGACTCCAATAAAACGGAATTAAGACGTTAATTGTTTTTTGCAAACTAAGCATGTTGTACGGCGTACACCAGATCTCCGTTCTTAGTCTACTTCTAGCTATCGTCGTCCTACAGGCCCTCTCATCACATGGTAATGGTTAGCGTGCTCCGTTTACTTTACGCATTTACACGTCCAGTAGTATGTCAATCCCATCCATTAAAAGACGTCGGATACCATGATAGGTTTGGATTGTGTGAACAAGGACATCAAGCAACGTGGCCTTACCCAAACAGATTCCCAAGACCGTATTCCAGAGCTCCAACTAGATAATGCCGTGTGCTGCCAGCCTCATCTAATCGGTCAAACATATCACCCTAAACTACAGTCGATTACGATGATGATGATTCTGACCGGTTTTCACGACACTAATAGAACTTTTACCGAATCCAGATGTCATCAACCTACTCTCATATTTTACTCAAACCCCAACGCGCCCTACTCGAGGTACTTGGAATCAGTAAAACCCAAGGCAACAGTTTGTCCTTTTCCATGAGAGTGGTCACAACAACAAGATCAGCAAAGAGATTTAAGCAAACCAAAAACTAAAACATTTATAATCCAAATTTGCGAACGCAATTTGTACAAAAAACCCTTTGATAGAAAACAATTGAGTTTTCTACCTTGAAAAAACCCATTATGTTACCGTACAGAAATACTGTTCTGCCCGTGCAAAAAATACTTTTACGTTTTTTTTGTTTCAAAAAAAATATCTAAGTTCACAAACTTTGTGATAAGAACTAGAAAAAAAACTACAAAAGTAAATTTAAGTTGGATTTTTTCATGTTTCATTGTCTCTTCGTGCAAATTTTGTTTTCAAAAAATTAGACAAACCAATTGTTTACGACAATAGATACTTTTTCAATTGAACTTTTTATCTCAGATTTGATGGTGTAAATTTTAAGAAAAATTTTGTAACAAACGATCAAAAGTTCTGAAAACGGTCGAAAGGATTTCCAAAATCCAAAAGTGTTTTCTGCAGAAAGCAGATTCTGCCCGCTTAAGCAGAGAACGTTCCCGAGCCGGGTTTCAAAATTGAAAACAACCTGAGAATAGCCACGGTAGTTTTCGCGTTAAGTCAATAAGTTTCCATAAAAACTGTCAAAATTTGAAAACTTCGACTTGTTTGAAGGCCACAATTTTTTTCTTAAACAAACTGGGCATAGCCAATCGAAAAGGTAGGCTTTCAAAAACTTGTTGTTTCGATTAGACTTATGATAGATTTGACAGGATAGTAAGCGTGAAAAATCAAAAAAAGGTCAACAAATCAAAAATTTGGCATTTCTTAGAATCATAAAAAAATCGAACGAAGCCGCTTAAGCAGAAGTGATTCACTCAACCTGTAGCTTAGATTGAGCCCTAAGTCTCAGATTTGGAAGGGTAGTTCACGAGAAAAGTCAGAAACTACAGAAAAACGATCAAAATCATTAATTCGATGTCAGAAAAATTTGGGAATGTTCGCATAAGCAAATGAGCTTCCCACAACGCGTTCTTTAAATAAAACCTAAAATCTCAGATATGCCACGGTAGTTTTCGAGAATATTCGAAAAGTTTCAAAAACAGTCAAATCAAAAATTTGACTTTTCCGATGGCGATAAATTTTTATGTTTAAAACTTTGTAAAGTGCCGCTAATGCAGGGGAGCTTCCCCAATACGCGTTATCTTCATTGAACCCACAAAATCATATTTGAGAGGTTTGTTTTCGTGAAAAAGATTCCCAAAACGGTCAAAAATTGGATAATTCAGAGGGCCATTATTTTTGGTGTTGAAAAAATGGGCATACCCTCTCGATCAGGGAGCTTTTCAAAACCGTTCCATTCATTGAAACCAAAAACTCAGGTAGTTTGAGAGGGATAGTTTTCGAGAAAACGAAAAAAATACACATAGAGTTCAAATATTCCCCCACAGACTTTTCGAAGGCTATAGACAGAGGGGTTGAGTAAAAAGAGACTCTAGGGGAGTATACAGGCAAATAAAAGACTAGACAGTCTTTCAAATCATACCCCTTTTTTGAAAATCAGTTAAATATTTTGAGAAAAACTAAAACTTTTCCAATATATTTGGAAACAATTTTCCGGAATGAAAAAATAAATTTCAGCAAACCAATTGGTAAACATACAACCAACTCGAAAAAGCAGAGCGGAGTGTTAGAATTGTATTTCCTTGGAAACGATCTATTTCTGATTGTCACTTTTTGTTTAAAAAAACTGGATCAAACTGAAAACTGGCTCAGCTGATAAATTTTCTATTCCACTGGGAACTCTGAAAATTAAAATTCATCTTTGAAGTGCAATCAATAAGAACAAGTACAAATAATCCTCGAATTATTTAAATATGTCAAACACTAGCCACAAATGGAGCAGAGAACAGATGCAATAAAATTTACAATGCTAAATCTAGATTATAGCATCAGTGTTAACAAATAAGTAACACTTTTTGCTTTCAATAAAGCTTTTATTTACGAGTTAGCTTTTAAAAAAAGAAGGTTCGTAGTAATAAACTACGCTGACCGCAAGTGTAAAAAGTTCATAAAAGCGGTCAAAAAATCAAAAACTTGACTATTCCCAGGTACAAAATTTCATGTGTAGAAAAAATATGGGCGTATCATGGAGGGGAGCATTTTGAGTCCGTTGTATTCATTGAAATCAAAATCTGACTTTTGTTAGGTTAGTTTTTGAGAAAATAAAAAAAAAATAAAAAAAGTCGGTCAAATATTCGCCCAAATAATTTTTTGGAGGCTGTAGACAAAGGGATGAAACAAGAAGAAACCAGTGAGTATACATGCACACAAAACTGACTATCTTTCTATGAATACCCCTTCTTTAAAAAACGGTAGAAGTTTTTGAGAAAAAGTTGTTTTACAAAAAAGGATAAAACAATTTCATACTATCTGAATTATCAAACAAAAACTTTAGGCAAAAGTGTCTAGCAACTCATTTGAAATTCAAATTAGCATCTGAATAAAACTTACGAAGCGGAAACAAGGCCGAAAATCTTTGAGCAGACACCAGCTGAGCCGAAAAAAACTAATTTAGCTAAAAAACTTCAAAAAGTCCCCCCTGAGGAACTAGTTAATGCGTAGTTGTTACAATTATGCCTGGTTTACCTTGAGCATAACAGTACGTGAATGAAGTGCAGATGAAAGAAGTTTTTCAAGTGATTTTGTTACACTAGTTGTTAACCCAAAAAAGTCTATATTCCGATTTGATAACGCTTGCTAATTGCAAGCGCAATGATAAAACTATCTAGTGAAACCAAATTAATTGCCATTTTTGCAGATAATTCAGATCAGTAAAGACCCTACAACAAAAAGGAAGAGTGAAGAGATAATTCACGCTATTTTTTCAGCCTTTTTCTAATCTGAGCTCATAGAGCGCGAGCAAATTTTAAGTCAATCAAGAAAAAAAATTTTATTTAAATCATTGATGCATGGACTCACAACGTTCATTAATGACTGAAAAGTCTTAATGAGTGTCTAATCCACATTCCTCGACACTTAAAAATAGAGGCATTTCCGACTACAACCTACATAATTATATATTCAGCTTTATCTTGTGACTCAATAAAAATGTATTTGGAACTAGTTACCACACAGAGGCAAAGCAGAACAAACATAGCACTCAAACATAGCATGACAAACTAGCAGCCAGAAATTGAGACGAAAGCGCAACCAAAACTTCTCAATTTTGTCTTGAATAAAGTTCACTTTTAAAAACTGTTATGACAATTGAATAATTGTATTAAAAAACCAGTAAAAAACACATTGAAAAGTACGGGTAATTGAAATGCAAACATGCTCAACAAATGTCTATTGGTTGGCGAAAGTTCAGATTTGAGAAAATGATTCAAAGATTTTGTTGGGCAAGTGTTTTACGAGAACCAGTCTGTGTTCCGAATTGATAGTGCTTGCTACTCATCGCGAGCACAATCTTCGCATATGCAAAAACTTCGTGCACAAGAATTGACGGAGCAAAAAATTTTTTAAAAAATTTTCGATATTTTTTATTTCAAAAAAATTCAAAAAAACGCATAACTGAAATTCCGCTAAAAATTTGCTTCTCATTTAACTTAACTAATGGGGCTTTAGAAATACATTCAGGAACTTAAAAACAGTTCGCGCTACGGAAACTAAGCCGACAAAAATATAAAGACAAACAATAGTCCGAAAAAGTAGAACACTTCTAGTTTGAAAAAAAAAACAGATCCAGGCCGGATTCGAAACACCGACCTTTGTCGCCTCAATCAATGCGAGAAAACTCAATCAGTGCGAGAACACGACCAAAAAGCAGCTGCTCTATCAAGTGAAATAAAAAGTAGAAATAAGCCTCGACTTGGCTAAAATTCGGCTACATGTAGGATTCGAATCTGCGACCTACTGCAATCAAGAGATTTTGAGTCTCACACACTATCCACTCAGCCACGCAAGCTTAACAACGACAAATACTGGTCAAGCATAGGGCAGCTACATATGCTAATAAATTGCCAATGCCATTCAGCAAAAGTGGAACCAAATACAAATAGACTCAATTTCCAAGTAATAATTTGGAATATAACAAACTGAAGGCATCCACACTAATTTTGCATGTAACAAATCGAAAAGCATAACCCCATATTATGTATAAAATATGCAATTGAAAAAATTGCGAGATCTGAGTTAGAAAATTTTCTGAAATCGAGTTTACATTATTGTTGTTGTTTGAAACTAATCACTTTTTGGGTTCATTTGAACAATGATAAATTACTCTTCTAACTATACTACACTAACTTTTTACTATACTAAGTGATACTATTCGAATATCAAAGCACATGCTATTAAAAAGCTGTAAAGGTGCCCTAAAAAGGCACCAATATTTGCGACTTAGGTAATGCTTCGCAAGTGTAATGAAGCAAACCAAACATGTGCGAAATCTTGAACACTTGACGGGAAAAAAGTCTAGTACCATGTTGCAACAACTCTGTGATACTAACACAGCAATCGCTTACTCATGTTCCGAACTGGAATTTGGCTTAGAATGCAAAAGTTGAAACAAATTACCATCACTTTTAAACCTTTCAAGTCTCGGAACCGTTCAATTATCACCCAGATAGAAATCTGTATTTCGCAAATTTAAGCAAAAAACATGGTAAAAAATGAAAATGCAAGATTTAATATGCCGCCAACTAAATCAAATACAAATTAAAAACATCGAAGACAGACCTTTCCAACGACATTTTCCTCTCTTAACCTAGTCAACATGGTGACTTACACGACAATCAAGCATACTAATTTCTTAGATATCCAGCAGCAAAAATTGTGCATTAATAAAGCAGATTTAGCTATATCCATCTGCTTCGTTTACGTATGCGATAAAATGTGCAAAAAAGTTGCACTAAAATGTGCGACTCTGGTTGAAAAAAAGCTGATCTTAATAACACTACAACCAAAAGCTCGCTTGAGAATTGCAATGATTCAATAGTCCCTAAAGACGATACAATACTTTTATACAGCACTTCTCAAACCTATACAGAGTGCAGATATGAACGAGAAAGTTCAAAAAAATTTCTGGCATGAAACTCACAATGTTGCTCTCATTTCAAAGAAAAAGTCCATTTTCATACTTTTTCTTATTAATTGTCAGCTTTTGATGGACTAATGTTCAAAAATTGCTCATTGTCATACTGAAATATAAAATCATCAGCAGTTTTTGAACACTTAAATTATTAATATAGGAACAATATTCATAACCGGGAGGAGGCAAAAAATTTGGGTATTAATCTTTTCGCTTTTATATAGTAAATAAATAGCTAGTGAGAATAGATAGACAAAAATAGCTATGACAAAAAAATGATCGATTCAGTCATTTAATCTATATGAAACCCGTCCAGTGATTTGTCGCCCATTGAAACCACAAATGCGTTTCTGCTTCGATTTAGGCATACTGATTCGGTGCCTTGTAGACAGATCCTCCAATCTGTACAGCCGAGACCACTCCGAGGAGCTGCAGGAATGCGAACACAAGTCCACAGGCAGCGATGATGGCGAAGTTGTCTTTAAGAGTATCTGTCAGTTTGGTTCCACATCCGTCCGAGTAAGCGCCGACGCCTCCGACTGGCGCTGCACAATCAGGCTTGTCCTTCATGTCCGAACTACCGTCACAGGGGTATTTTGTCGCTTTGCACACGCTACTCGCGCAGCACGAGTAGGGAACTGTCCGGTTTCCTAGAATATCATTCCAATCAGAGGGCCCCTGTTCCACTCCACAGCACTTAAGCTCACTCTGCATCGTGTCCCACGCTTTGAACGTGTTCTCGTCCGTCAGATATTGTTTCTATTGAACAAAAAAAACAACGACGATATTTTTCTGAAATTCGACAAGAGTAAAACGCAGACATTTATCTACACCAAAACATTATCAAGAACTTAATCAAGAACCTTAGTCATTCGTTATGGGAATTTAGACAGTAGATTTTTTTGTAAGATGTAAAGTTTTTAAGGTAGGAGTCAACAGAGACGAAGCAGTGCTTTGCAACACTTGCGATACAATAAAAACGTCGCAATACAAGATATTAAAGAGAAAACGAGACGGAAATCTTAGTTGGCACTTAGTTTGAAATCCAACCATTTAAAAAAAAACAGGATAGACCCCTTTATTGGGGCGAACCCCGTTACGCCCCCTGAATCCAACAAAATCATAAAAAATATATTTTACCGTCGAAACGGTGCAAAATATGATGACTGAGCCGAAATGACCTACACCGAAAAAAAAGAAAAAAATTTGATGAAAAAAAAAACATAATTCAAGATCAGAGTTTTACGAACTACAGAACAACTTCCAATTATAGTATAAACATTTTAGATTATAATAGTAACCATTCTTTGTAAATAAGGCTGCTGAAAGGGTATCAAGTCATAAAAATTGCTTTGGAAAAAAAGGAAAAAGATCTGACGGAAATTAGACGAAAGCTACGAATCCGAAAAAAAAACTTTTTTTTTCAAGTTTATTTTAAAAATTATTAAGTACCTACGATGAACTACAAAGTACTTTTATCTAAAAATTTTCAAGAAATTGAGCGTTTTAGCTCAGCAGTAATTGCAGCAGTTGAAAGTAACTGCTACACTTGAAAGTACACGCAGCAGCCTTATTTTTTAAGAAAATTTGTTAGCGAGAAACAAGTCTAGTCCCCGATTTCAATTACACGTGCTCTCGCAAGTAAAACTAAGGAGCTTTTGATTTAGACAGTAGTAATGATTTATCGATCTATGCCTCAAATTGAATATTTACAAGAAGGCGTAATAGTTGACCTATAACTAAATACTATTTTAATTACACTAAATACTATTTTAATTATTAGCAAAACTCGTATTTAACCAATCGTTTATTTTAAATTACGTATTTGTCCCAGAAAAAAGCCAACTAACCTGGGTCTTTTCGAGTCCCTTGGTGACCGTGTCGTCAATGTCTGCTCGCTCAATCACAGCATAAAAACATAGAGCCAGTTCAGCGATCAGTATGATGCCGAGGAAGACTGCGAACAGGTACAGCATGCACTTGCTCTTTCTCCAAGTTCCACAGCAACCCAGGAATCCCAGAATCACCAGAAGAGCAGCTGCAACAAAATAAATGACAGATTTGATCGGACCAGAGGCCCAGCCCTGAATGTTCCGACTGCCTTTTAACAAGTCTTTACCTAAACTTTGTAGAGGCGAAGCGGATACACTAGCAATACAAAAATACGAGCCAGAATTACAGCGTAGAAAATTTTCCGATATAAGCAGCAAACAATTACACAATTTTCAAAAGACAGCAATAAGTTTCAGAATGCAGAGTCAGAGCGCAATATTTCAAAACACAGCCAACGAAAAGGTGGGAAATAAATGAACTCAAATAAAACAGGGAAAAAAATATTTGACTTTCTTTAAAAAAAACTTTCGAAAAAACAAACAGGCGACAAAATTTCAATGAGCTCAGGTAGCGAAAAAAAAATTGACTTTTTTTTAAAAAAAAACTAGCCCAATTAGAGAACACTCCTAACGTTTTCATTCCGCTGGGAAAATTAAACATAGCCAATCAAAGATTGAAATTAAGTAATAAACGCAAGTAAACATTTAAAAAAACGCTGACTTTGTTGACAAAATCTCAACTTTCGAATTTCAAAGAAAAAAATAGATGCCGCTTAAGCTCTTTGAATTTCTAGAACGATTAATAATGGCGCTTTTTTGATAACATAAACATAAGTTGAGAGAACTGGATCAACAGGTAAAGTTTTTATTCCGCTGGAAATCTAAAAGTTAAATTCCACTTTCGAAACTAGAAAAGGTTCATGTTTTTTGCGCCATTTGCGCGTTCGTATTTGAACAGGGCTATTTATGTCACTTTCAGCAGATGCAATTCAATTGAACTCAAAAAAAGCACATATACCGAAGAGCATCAATATTTTAAGACCTTTTTCTGAAAAAAAAAATCAGCAAGACTTATCAGCGAGTCTTCAGTACGTTCATTACTTTAAAAATAAATACTCTTTCGATCCTCAACACATTCCCTTTTTCATTTTGAAGAAAACAGGATGGAACCCGTTATTGAAGGCGAGCCCCGCTAGCCCGAAAAAAGACGGTTGTCATGAAAATTTTTAAGCTATTAAGTTTTGAAACTCAAAGCTTGTACGGTTCCGCCCCCCTAAACCCAACCGAACTCTACGAAAATATTTTGCTGTCGAAAGAGTGCAATGTAAGATGTTTGATGGATTAAAAAAAAATAAAAATGAATGAAATTATTCATGATCAGAACTTTCCAAATTACAAAACAGCTTTCAATTGTAGTATACACATTTCAAATTAAAACAAAAATCATTCTTTGACAAGAAGGCTGTTAAAAAGCGCATCAAGTCATAAAAACTGCATTTGAAAAAAAAGGAAAATAATCCGACGGAAATAAGGACGAAAGCGAATCCGAAAAAAAGTACGACTAGGTACTTTCATTTGAAATTTCAAAAAATTGAGCATCTCAGCGCAGCGGTTACTGTAGCAGTTGAAAGTAGACGGACAAAAGTCCCATTGTCACGCGGAAAATTTTCCATTTTCAAAAAAAAACAGGTCTTAACCGGATTCGGACCACAGATTTTCGTCTCCGAGGTGTTATGATCCAAAGATTTTGTTAAACTAAATGTAAACATGGAAAATGTATATATTCTGATTTAACCTAAAGTCTATATTCCGAAACGTGACATAAGAAAAGTAGAAATAAGCCTCGAATTTGCAAAAACTCGAGGCTTAGCAAAACCTCGAATTAGTAAAAATCTGCGATCTAGCAAATTTGAGTCTCACATAACTAACCATTCAGCCACGGATGCTTAAAATACCCAAAAACTAGCCACCATTAGCCCAGCTACATATGCTAATAAATTGACAATTCGATGCAGCAAATACAAAAAGATACAATTTTGCATGTAATAAACTGCAAATCATAAAGCCATATTATGTTAAAAATATGCATTTCAAAAAATTGCAAGATCTATTGAGTTAGAAAATTTCTGAAATCGAGCTTTTATTATTGTTATGTTGTTTGAAACAAATAGCTTTTTTCGGTTCACTTGATGAATTAGAAAAAAACATCAACTTTGTAAACTTATAACTATTCGAATGTCAAAGAACATGTTATCAATATGCTGTAAAGGTGCAACAAATAAGCTGTCATGTCAATTCGATGCAGCAAACTCGATGCAGCAAACGATGTTGCTTTAAATGTAATAAACAGTTCTATACAGATGAGTCTAGCCGACGTATATATTAAACTAGAAAAAATAATAATTTATGCAAAAAAGTAACTTTTCCTATTTGCTTCACAATGACGGATCGCAGCAAAATTATTACTCGTTTAGAAATGTTGTCGCGCCTTTTATAATGAGCCATTCAAAAACCTTTACAAATGTGGGAAGTGGCTATTCTCAAGCGCGAAGGACCGATGGCGCGAAATTCTCAACCAATCAATGCCCTTGAAACTGCCCAAACAGTGATTTCATTGATTATTTAGTTCGAACTTAAGAAAAATGAATTCTGATTAGCTTACAACATTTTCGCACATTCAATCCTTCGATCATGAAGGATTACCATGATGTGTGGTCCTTTCAAATCACTTGAAATATACTTTAATCGCTTCAAGGTGATAAAATCAGTGGTTAAAATGAAATGAGGGGCTGAGTCAGTTGGTGTGGTAGGAGTTGTGTGTTTGTGAGTCGTTGTTGTGGTCAGCAGGTACTTACAGCCAATGAGGATTGTGATGGAGACGTAGGACATTGTGTATGTATCCGCAGTGTCATACAGGTAGTCATACTTCACCAGTACGTACACAGAGAGTCCGAAGGCAGCAACTCCCACCACCCACAGAGCAAGGGTGAAAATGAAGAAAAAAATCTTCGTGATTGCCAACAAGCAGTCCATTTTAAGCACAAAGCTATTACTTTACAAATCAAATCGTTCTCAACTAAGAAACAAACTTCTCTCACGATGAACAGTATTGAAATGTCAAGCTCAATTAAAGAGCGATATGGATATTTGATCAGCAAATGTTGAGCGGAAATAGTTGGAATAATCGCAACACTCCGAAATTAAACTATTAGTAGCATGTTTGAAAATGGAACATTCAAATAGCGTACGGCCCTTTGAAGCATTTATTGGTGTCTTTTGAGCTGACCTACTTATTTTAACATATTCGTTAAATTTTCATCACCAAACTTTTAAGATGTTCAGTACGAAAGAGGGCGATATGTTCAAAAAGAAAGAGGGCGAGGTCTAGCAATGTCCCTTAGAACAAACAAACAGCTAAATGAGGCTTCACATTCGCTGGTTTTTCTAAAGATTTGTTTAAAAACCTGCTCTTATCATTGGAGAGTTCCTGCAAAAAAAATTTCCTGCAACTACACTCTATAGTTATTTTTAGCAGCAAAGATTCTGTTACGGTGCGGCTTCTGCTAGCAGAATCCAAAAACATCCGAGGCTTGGGTGCTCTGGTGTTATCGAAGTTTTTTTAAACCACTACTAAATCTTTTTTGCTTCTCTACTATATAAGGAATTAGCATCTTATGTAGGAGATATTCTTACGACCTGTTCTTCACATAAAAAATTTCAACACAGGCGAAGCGAAGCTTTGCGCCACTTGCATAACAACAAAAATATATTGAAAAGCAACACAAATATAGCGAACTAAGCGACGGAAAAAGAGATATATTTGTCTTTAAAACTTCCTTCCAAAAAAAGCCGAGTAGGGGAAATGAACGCTAACTGACCACCGAAAAACAAATTACACAGTTGTAAAAAATAGTTTTTTTAAAACCAAGTTTTCTTTTTATTTTTCACACGCTATGCTACAACAAAGTGGTAGATTTTGTTGTACTGTTCCAATAAGACTAAATAAATGCTAATTTGAACAATCCGGGCAAAACCAAAAACAATTGAAGTTTAAGTGGGTTTTTTAAAATGGATTAACTTTAGACAAAAAAGACGAAGAAAAATTTGCTTCGAAGAAAGACGAAGAAGAGGATGAAGAAAGACGAAGAAGAATTTCAGCGGAGTAATATACTGTAATTAATTATACAAAATTTGGGCCCAGAAGTTTTAACTAAAATTATGTCTATTTTGGCTTTTTAATCAATTGAAAACTATGCCAACACAACCTTGCGAGAACACCACAAAATGCAGCTCTATAAAGAGCAATAATAAAAATTAGAAATAAGGCTCGAATTAATAGAAATTCTGCTGCCTCTGAGACTCGAACCTGCGACTAGAGATTAGGAAACTCACACACTAACCACTCAACCACGGACACTTACTAGCTGCCAAACACTAGCCACAACTAAAACAAAGAACAGATGATATGCAATTTTCTATGCTACAGAGAAATTTCCAAAAAAGTGAACACTTTAATGAGCAACTTTATTTGCGAGTTAGATTAGAAAAAAGAGGTTTCGTAATAATACACTAAGCTGATCGCAAGTGTACCTAAGCGGTTATAAAGCCGACAATATCTAAGCAGACACAATTTGAGCCGAACAAAAAATGATTTCATAAAAAAAACTTCAAGTCCCCCCTGAACAGATTAACACAACAATCTTTTTTTGTTCATCAGACGAGTTAAACTCAGGCCGTTAAGTCGATATAATACGAGCAGAAACCTTCTAGGCCGAAGGAAGGAAAAACGAAAAAACTGATCTATTGGTGTAACACTCGCCCAAATACTACACAGCGACGGAGCGTAGAAAAAGTACATATTAACGACTTGCAGGCGTCAGTTACCTTAATTCTACTCGTTTTTCACCGTCTCGACCTTGCCAGTTGATTTTCTAGTCTGATTAGGGCTAAGTAAAAAGTTACTATTTTAAGCCATCAGTCAAAAGACTTTTGATCAGCTTTCGTTTACATTCGAACAAAACCACATAGCTGAGTCTCGGATCCTCAGACTACGTGATTGCTATTAAAAACACGGCTCGAACACCCTATTTTGTTATGTTTTTGTTGACAGTTCTATATTAAATCCATTGGAGATGGATTGACCCTTTCCTCTTTCTAGCTACTCATATTCTAAAATATCAGATAATACCGGTGTTATTTCAAACGTTTATGGCATCAGAGTAGCTAAAAAGTTAGTTTTTTACAGTGTTTCACCATATATCAGTCTCTGGGGGACCAAGCCTCCGCTTCCGTTTTCTCCTTGTAATAAAGTCGTAAATACTCTCAATTCGTGGCACGGGAGGGTTCTGTTCAATATTCCTTCCCCACTGAAGCCTCCTTTCCCACTATCGTCTTCTCCTAAGAGTCTTATCGTGCGTGATCGTCACGATAAAAGGCTTCGTTTTTCTGTGTTGACGTGCGACTGTTTTCCATTATACTCGCTGTTGTTCAGACTTTTCACTCTTTTTAGTCAAAATGGCTGTCTTTTGTATTTGTGAGAAATTTCCGTTCGATAATCGAAGTTTTGAAAATTGAAACTTCTAGAATGTTTCTAGCCTCCTGTAGAAGAACTAAGCGACGGAAAAAGAGATATATTTGTCTTTAAAACTTCCTTCCAAAAACTCACACACTAACCAATCAGCCACGGACACTTACTAGCTGCCAAACACTAGCCACAAATAAAACAAAGAACAGATGATATGCAATTTTCTATGCTAAAGAGAAATTTCCAAATAAGTGAACACTTTAAGGAGCAACTTTATTTGCGAGTTAGATTAGAAAAAAGAGGTTTCGTAATAATACACTAAGCTGATCACAAGTGTAACTAAGCGGTTATAAAGCCGACAATATCTAAGCAGACACAATTTGAGCCGAACAAAAAATGATTTCATAAATCATAAATGAGTCTTATCGTGCGTGATCGTCACGATAAAAGGCTTCGTTTTTCTGTGTTGACGTGCGACTGTTTTCCACTATACTCGCTGTTGTTCAGACTTTTCACTCTTTTTAGTCAAAATGGCTGTCTTTTGTATTTGTGAGAAATTTCCGTTCGATAATCGAAGTTTTGAAAATTGAAACTTCTAGATTGTTTCTAGCCTCCTGTAGAAGAACTAAGCGACGGAAAAAGAGATATATTTGTCTTTAAAACTTCCTTCCAAAAAAGCCGAGTAGGAGAAATGAACGCTAACTGACCACCGAAAAACAAATTACACAGTTGTAAAATATAGTTTTTTTAAAACCAAGTTTTTTTTTTAATTTTTCACGAGCTATGCTACAACAAAGTGGTAGATTTTGTTCTACTGTTCCAATAAAACTAAATAAAGCTAATTTGAACAATCCGAGCAAAACCAAAAACAGTAGAAGTTTAAGTGGGTTTTTTAAAATGGATTAATTTTAGACAAGAAAGACGAAGAAAAATTTGTTTCGAAGAAAGACGAAGAAGAGGATGAAGAAAGACGAAGAAGAATTTCAGCGGAGTAATATACTGTAATTAATTATACAAAATTTGGGCCCAGAAATTTTAACTAAAATTATGTCTATTTTGGCTTTTTAATCAATTGAAAACTATGCCAACACAACCTTGTGAGAACACCACAAAATGCAGCTCTATAAAGAGCAATAATAAAAATTAGAAATAAGGCTCGAATTAGTAAAAATTCTGTTGCCTCTGAGACTCGAACCTGCGACTAGAAATTAGGAAACTCACACACTAACCAATCAGCCACGGACACTTACTAGCTGCCAAACACTAGCCACAAATAAAACAAAGAACAGATGATATGCAATTTTCTATGCTAAAGAGAAATTTCCAAATAAGTGAACACTTTAAGGAGCAACTTTATTTGCGAGTTAGATTGGAAAAAAGAGGTTTCGTAATAATACACTAAGCTGATCACAAGTGTAACTAAGCGGTTATAAAGCCGACAATATCTAAGCAGACACAATTTGAGCCGAACAAAAAATGATTTCATAAAAAAACTTCAAGTCCCCCCCTGAACAGATTAACACAACAATCTTTTTTTTGTTCTTCAGACGACTTAAACTAAGGCCGCTAAGTCGATATAATACGAGCAGAAACCTTCTAGGCCGAAGGAAGGAAAAACGAAAAAACTGATCTATTGGTGTAACACTCGCCCAAATACTACACAGCGACGGAGCGTAGAAAAAATGCCTATTAACGACTTGCAGGCGTCATTTACCCTAATTCTACTCGTTTTTCACCGTTTCGACCTAGCCAGTTGATTTTCTGGTCTGTTTAGGGCTAAGTAAAAAGTTACTATTATAAGCCATCAGTCAAACGACTTTTGATCAGCTTTCGTTTACATGCGAACACAACCACATAACTGAGTCTCGGATCCTCAGACTACGTGATTGCTATTAAAAACACGGCTCGAACACCCTATTTTGTTATGTTTTTGTTAACAGTTCTATAATAAATCCATTGGAGATGGATTGACCCTTTCCTCTTTCTAGCTACTCATATTCTAAAATATCAGATAATACCGGTATTATTTCAAACGTTTATGGCATCAGAGTAGCTAAAAAGTTAGTTTTTTACAGTGTTTCACCTTATATCAGTCTCTGGCAACCAAGCCTCCGCTTCCGTGTTCTCCTTGTAATAACGTCGTTATTACTCTGAATTCGTGGCACGGGAGGGTTCTGTTCAATATTCCTTCCCCACTGAGGGTCTTATCGTGCGTGATCGTCACGATAAAAGGCTTCGTTTTTCTGCGTTGACGTGCGACTGTTTTCCACTTTATTCGCTGTTGTTCAGACTTTTTCACTCTTTTTAGTCAAAATGGCTGTTTTTTGTATTTCTGAGAAATATCCAATCGATAATCGAAATTTTGAAAATTGAAACTTCTAGAATACTTCTACCCTCCTTCGCAGCACTTTTTTGTCGTTAAAGCCTTTTATCGTTCTTTCGTGTTTCGCTGGAAGGTTGCGCTGTGCTAGTCTGGCAGAATGGCACATACTCCCCGGACAGTCCCCATCAATGTCCCTATTGATCGCATAACACCGGGTTATCGTCAAGTAGTGTTCCAGTTCTCATTAATCAACCTTATAAATCGCATTAGAAAATGAAATTTATTTACTCCACCTCAACTCACTACGTGTCACAAATGGCATTACACTACATCCTACTGCCTTTCAACATTTTCACAAAATTTGCACCATGAGGAGTGTCCTAGATAAAATTTCTTTTCTGACTACTTACGTCATCTTGCCATAAAACTTCATTTCGCTCTTGCTGATTAAAAAGTTGGGACGTGGCATGGCCTCGCACCCGTTAAAACTAATTTAACGTCACTCACCAGGTATAATCAGTTATTTATGCGGTTCTCCTCAATATTAAAACTAAGAAACTCATATGACCTTTGCGACATTCTGGCCAACCTCACGCACTTTGGCACAGAGAAGAGTTGGTCGACCAATACCTGCTGCGACCTCGCATCCATCACCACCATGTGCGTAGGATAACTGCTATTACAATATGGCGCAGAGCTTGAACCCACCAGATATTTCGAGCCAGTAGGTCTATGATAGGCCTCACTATCCTTCAAGTTCATTTCATTTTCCAGAGCCTCTCGCCAGCCTCCAATCTTTTGCTCTGTCTGTATCGCTCCAGGAAATACTTCCACACTGAGGGACGTCACTAGCCCATGGGCACGCTCTAGTCGTTCCAGTGATGCTATCGAGCTCGTCATGCTGCAAAATCCCAAGGCAGTGATCAAGTTTACTTCCGTCACTCCATGACAGTCCGCGATCAACTCCATCCCACTCCTATCCGACATGCTCAACCTTCCAAACAATTGTGCCAATTGTCGATGCTGCTCGCTCAGCGTAATCAAGCAGTGTCCTGAGTTGCACACATGTCCTTCCTTTCCATTACTGTGAGCTAGACAGGTGCCTTGTCACAACCAATTGCTCGATGGATT